AGAGGCTGCGTGAGCGATGCAGGGCTAAGCTGAGCCTGGTGGTGGTGTGGGGATGCAGGCACAGCCTGAGGGACACAACGGGGATGTGGCAGCAACGGGAAACACCCCCATTACCTGCGTCCGGTGGGAAAGCGGAGCAGAGCTTGCACAGATCCGGAAGCAGGAGGAAATCTTGCTTTCTCAACAGGAAGGAGAGGGCTCTGCAGCAGTTCCTTCAGCCTCGGACAGGCAGCAGCATGTCAACAGCCAAAGCACAGGTTGTGTTGCACACCACGGGAGCTGTTTCAAGTCACTCTACCTGATACAGAATCATAGAACAGTCCCTGATGAAGACTGGGGATACCAAGGCACCAACATTAAGAAGTTAATTTTCATGGAGAAAGGTTTTCCTGCTGCCTCTGTGCTTGAGAGCACCCTTGGGTTTGTGCTGTAGCACTCACCCAGCAGTCTCACATCACTTTGTTGAAGGATCGCCTACGTGGTGGCGTTACTGCAGAGCTGTTGTTGCAGAACAGCCATCTCTGAACAGCCCCGTGCAAAACCAGGCTTGCTCTGAAATAGGAAAACATTATTCAGGTTGGTCTTAATACTCTGTCATCTTCACAAGAGTGGATTAGGTTAGGTCAGACTAGGTGGAAGAAGAGTGCCCACACACAGAAGGATCAGGAACGGCCTTCAAACTCACACCCTTTCTTAACCAGGGTGATCTGGCAAGCATGGACAGCTGTCCCTTTGAATAGGAGTATGTAGATAGAAGTCTGATACGAAGGTGCAGCATGGACCTACCCTTTCTTCTAAGTATGTAACAACGGGGTGAAGATCAGTTTCTAGCGTTGGTTGCATCTTTGATGCAATGTACCTCGTTCTTTTAGTTTTATTCTTGCACAATATTTCCCCTGCTAACGTCTGCAAATACCAGCTTTCTCTTTATCGCTCCAGTCCTGCTTCTTTAAACAAGTGCACGTGTACAAACTGCTGATGCCTTATGACACAACACTTCCAGATTTCACATAACCAGCTTGCTGTAACCTCCCTGCAGCAAAGCAGCCTGCTCAAGCAAATCAGAGCTCATTGCATCCATGTCAGTACCATGTTGTTTTCGAGAATCCAGTGGCTCTCTTGATTTCACAGGATACACGCTCACTTCCTCCATCAGGAAATCCATGAAAATCAGCAGAACAAAAATAAGGGTGACACTGAATAATTCAGTAATACACTGACAATATCTGCTAAACTCCTGTCAACACAGCCTACTTTGCTGTTGCTGCAGCGTACAGTGGAAACGGCTTTACAGTCCTACAGTCTATTATTAGGCTGGGTCTTGGATACTTAACACCTTTTGCAAGAACAGGAATAGCACACTAAACAGACTTTTATCAGAAGGATCTTACAACTAAAAGGATAAAGTCCCAACCACACAAGAGAATACTTACATTTTGTCACAGTTACAGGTAAATCAATGGAAGAACAACCAGCTCTACAAGGTCAGCTTAGTCTTTGCTGCTTGGCTTTTTGTTCATCTCCTCTGCCATGCTCACAACAGTAGGAAGTGAGAGCTCGCTATGAGGCAGATAGGGAGTCATGGCACAGAAGTAGACGGTTGAAGATACTTTACCTAACGATTCATTAGACAAGAGGGGAGAAGTAAAGCATAAAGCAGAGTCCTATGAGCTGAAGGAAAGACACAGAGAGGCTTTGTGTTAATACAAGTGGAGCTACTAGTGTGGCACCTTAGTGTGAAGGAATGAAGCACTTCCTTAGCTGTTTTATTCAAGCTTGAGAAATATTTTGGGGTTTATACGTAGAATCTCTTTAGCTCATCAAAGAGGAGAACAAGAGGTGGCTCAGTCTCATGTCTGGGCTTCCTACATATTAGATAAGCTCTGTAGTAGTGGAAATAGCTTTAACCCAGACCAGAAGGTGGAGAATCTGAGCTAACATGTGAAAGGCAAACCTAAACAAATTCAAACTGCCAGTCAATCTTTCCATAGCATTTCACCTCTAGAATAATTTATGTAAACCCGTAATTGCCCTGTTACCACTTGAAGCCTTTAAATCAAGGCTGAACAACTTCAACATTAAGAAATGCTGTAGCTTAAACAGAGTTAAAGATACCTGTATACAGGGTACTTGGACTTCATTATACATGATGCTTTCTGATCATTAAGTCTCTGTCTAGTTGCACCAGCCTGGAACAATGGGTCTTCCTGTTGTAATCTAGCTGTACTTTTAGTTCCTGTAATTTTCCCGTAATGTGCAAATTAAGATGGAAAATTACTTATCCTGACTTAAAAAATATATAGTTCAGATTCAGGCTTAAAAATGAAAGGCAATCCTTGATTACAATTTTACCTTTCCCCTTCTGAGTTCATGCTGTCCTCATTTCATTGTCCATATTTCTATAAAACCATTGACATGAAATGTTTCTTCTCAACTTATTGAGATATATATATATAGTTATCTATCAAGAACTTACATGTGGGCTCCTTCGTATTTGCTTTCTTCTCACCCTTGCTTTCCATTGCATTTGGCATTTTGTGCAGTGCAGACAGAGAGCACATAGTTATGGTCAAAGCTGTTCTATGAAGGATGACACGTGGGCACTGTATAGCAGCAGAATGTATTTTATTTATTGTAGACTGGGCCATACACAGATCAGAGAGAGGAAGCAATGCACACCGCTGGATTCTGGTCCTCTGTGAGGAGAAACAGAGGCTGATAGTGCAGTATCTCTAGCTTTCTATGAAATTACTTTGGCAAATCCCTGGCTGGAAAGCATCTATTTCTAAACAAAACTCGTTAAGGAATTATATATAGACCATACACAGATGGTACCTAAAACACTTTCTGTGCCACAACAGTGTTTTCTTTAACCTCAGTTGGTCAATTGAGGGTGGTGTGGACACAGGTTTAAACAATGGAAGTTCAGGTTAGATATAAGGAGGTTCTTCCCTGTGAGGGTGGTGAGGCACTGGAATGGGTTGCCCAGGGAAGCTGTGGCTTCTCTGTCGTTGGCAGCGTTCCAGGCCAGGTTGGATGGAACCTTGGGTGACATGGTCTAGTGTGAGGTGTCCCTGGCCGTGGAAGAGGGGTGGGAACTGGATGATCTTAAGGTCCTTTCCGACCCAAATCATTCTATGATTCTACGATTTAAAAGGAGAAGAATCTTGCATCTCCACCTAATATTATTCATCCATGTGGTAACCCACTAGTGCAAATCAACTCTAGGTAGCCATTTACAAGATACAGGAGATAATGGTTTGGTTGCAAAACATTCCTGGAGAAAAATACTATGGAAGAAATAGGGGAATGTGAAATCCTGTTGCTGACGTTTCAGATGACTCTCATGTACTTCAGTAGGGTCCACTCTCCTTATTCTGCAGCCCATTATTTACAGACTGCATGGAAATATCCTGCATGGAAAACTGACTGTAGTCAAGCAGGTTGTACCCTACACAGTTGCTCTAATAATTAAAATTAAGACAGAATTCAATCCCAAACCTACCTATTTTAGAATACATTTCTGCTAGCTCCATCTATCTTAATGTCCAGCAGTAGGTTAAAACTAAAGAAACAGATCCTTTACATTCCTGTTTTCCCCCAGATACTAGATCTATTCAATCATCTTTAAAAATCCATCTTCCTTTAAAAAACAGAAACTACCTACAAAAGCCTGAAGCATTCATTACATTTCCCACTTTCCTAATGGCAACTCCTCAAAGCTCATGGGATCATGGCCTGTAACCCAGTAAATAGGAGAGAGTTGTTCAGCTCCTGTATGTACCTGAGTGCTCCTGGTAAAAGAAGTGATGCGATGATAAAAAAAGCACACTACACATTTACTTTTGCTTTGTGTACCTTTCACAAAAGCCACCTTCTCTCCAGCCGTCCATTTCCTTGCGAAATGGATCTACAACATAACATAGAAACCAGCAGGTTTTCCTCTGATCCTTTTCAGCTTCTGAACTGTTTGATGCTACTATAAAGTAGGCATGGAAACCTCAGATGGAAAACATGAGTTAGCTGGAACGCATCCCTTTCAAATACCTCCATTCTTTAGCAGCAGAAAAACTTAACAGGGATTCATTGGTTTGATTTTGGGTCGGTTTTATTTTGGTTTTATGTTCACAGGATCTATTATATCAGAAGACATTAAATGCTCCAACCTAAGATAAGGATCTTCTACTAGCTCCCCTGGCAAAAGCATGACTGAGGAGTTAGTATCATTAGCCAGCAGGACAGTGATCTCGTTTCAGTGACCTTCTTCTAGCAGCCTCAGTGATGACTTACAGTGGCAAAGCACTTAATATCAACACGTAAACCCTGTCAAGTGCTTTCTAAAATGTCAAGTGCCCTTCCCCCAGTCTACAAGCTGTTATTGTATAGATTCTGTACTAGAAAAGTGTTATGGAATTATGTCATAATAACAAGCAGTTATTAATGCCTTTGCTACAGGTTGGATCTGTAAGAGATGGCCGATCAATGGGCTGTTATGGGATAGAAAATACTGGCAATAAGTTTGATTTTTCAGAGAAATAAAAGTCCTCAACAGCTGTAGTGCTGATGGTTCAAAAGCCAGCTACATTGGTCAATACAGAAGTTTTCAGACTGGAGAAGAAAAGGGATGGCAAAAGGAGTACAGGCATTACCTACTTCATTATACTTTGTCTCCACTTAGACTGTAATCACCATAGGACGGACACAGGGTTTTTGGAAGTCTTTTATACTTAACTTCACACATTCTTAAGCTCCCTGCTGGAAGTGGGTGGTCATTGCAGTACTAGGAGAGTAACTGCAGAAATGCCCTTCAGACCTACCTCCACAAAGTTTCTCTACACACATTCCAACAAACACTTGCTTTCCAGGAGGGTGCAGCGATTGACACATTATTAAGTAGAGGAAGTTGCAACGGCAGCTTAGTAACCTAAACTGACAAGCTGTATGTGCCTGTCAACAACGCACAGCAGAGCTGGCGCTGTCTTTGGACTCTAACAGTTGCCATGTGAAAAATACTCAGGTTTGCTTTATTAAAACAATCCATCATCCGGAGTCAGTATGGACCACGGGTAAGTGTGGTGTAGATTGCCCACACTCAGCTGACTTCTACTGTTAACAGCTTTAAAAACAGAAGAACAAACCTCCAAGTTTGTAAATGTCTGACAACAAACTGTAATCCCAGTGCTTCGTTGTCGGTGATGCTAAATCCGGTCTTGACAGCACAGTGTCGACATCCATCAGGTGCCACCGCCGCATGCTGCTTCAGTCGTTCTGTGGCTTTCTGTGGAAGTATGTGCAGATTTTCCTCATGGAAACTGAAGCGGTTGCAGCCTAGAAAGAAGGAAAAAACAAACAAAACCAACAAGAAACATTTCTAGGTTAACAGTTCGTATGCTGTAGGAGCCCTAAGTCTCCTCTCCATCACTGCTCCAGTTTGTTTAGCCTCCCAACTAAGACAGGAAAGGAAAGGTTCCTTGCTGTAATCTGTTTGTCTCACAGATAAGAGGCTTACTACCTACAGGAAGCATTGGTAAATCCTAGGGCTGTCTTCCTGCCATAGGAAAAGCACTCTGGCTGCACTTTCAGCTTCCCTACAGCAGATGAGAACTGCAGATTTCCAAGATGCAGCAGATCAGTGAATACTGCTGGTATTCCAGGCACCTCCTCAGGCTTTGGGTGCAACACAGGGGAGCATTCCAAAACCTGAACTAGAGCACACTGGGCAGGAAAGGTAATCATTCAATAGTAATCTCCCCTGGAGGCAAATCTTTCTGACTTGTGCTTAAACATGTACGGCATAAAGCACAAGAAGTTGTAGGTTTCCTATAATCAAGATTTCTTGGTACAATCATTATATGAAGAGTTCAGCTTTTATGCATAAGGAGTTCCTTCATATCTGACAGAAATGCTGCAAGAGGTGAAATCAGGTAAGAAATGAGATACCAAAATAAGCCTTAATGATAGCAATGACTTCTAGCATCAAGTATCCAAACGAGAGTACAACTAAGATTTAATGATTGAAAGTTGTACCTAGCATTATACTGAAATTAGAGTCAAAGACACTGCAGGACTTGGAGTCCAGTTTCAGAGATGAGCCAAGTCTGGTTTGGTTTAATAAGGTAATTATCATTTCTCAGTTTGCATGTTAAACCCCCATGCCCAGCTATTTTAGCTGCTTTATAAGCTTAACTTTCAGATCCTAGAGTGAGCTCTGTGCCAGGGTTCTTCTACATCAAAACCAGGATTACGTAGATCGAACCCTGCCCTCTGACTCCTTTACAATTCCTTTATTTTCTGATAGTTTTCAAGTGAAGGAACCTAAGGCGTTATTTAGCCCCATGGTTTTAACATGGGTAACAAATCCCTTTGCTACCTGGGCTAGAATTTAGCACTTTCTTCCACTGGCAAGTGGCTTTCCAGTAACATAAACAGGCGGATGTGGCAATGATACATATGTGGTAGATCTGCCAGGAAAGGTGCTGCCATCGTTGTGCTTCTCAGAGTGGAGATGATGGCTATGTCCTCTGAACATCCAGCCTGGGACTGCAAGGATCTCTGAGCAAATCCGTGCCCTAAGTCCCTTTAAAATGAGGGAAACCACGAGCCTAAAAATGATGTTTGTGCACGGAGAGGATTAGTAGATGACAGCATTAACTTATCTAACTTACTAGGCCAGAAACCATCCCTTTTGTCCATAACCAAAGGGGATTGGATAATTCTTTGAATGCCTGAGCAGGAGAGAACAAACAAGGGGAAGAGTGGCAGCCACGGACAACTTTCATGACCATTGACACTCATTGTCCTACTTACAGTTCTTGGTGGAGCGGCTGCTGCCTCTTGTAGCTTGGCACCAGGACTGCAAGATGCTGGGGGGCTGTTGGATGCATTCTGGCTTCCAGCTCTGCCAGTCCGTCGCTTCTCCCCTAGAGCAGACAACCAGTTTTTCCTTTCAGGTGAACTATTCTCCTTATCCATCACTTCAGTGGCTTTCCCGCATGGAGGTCTGAAAGGATGGGGGGCAGTTTGAGGGCTCAATTGATTCATATGGCTTCCAGGAAAGGAAGGCTCTTTTGGGCTGTGGTCGTTATCCAAGCCAGCCAGGCTGAGGGAGCCTTCATCACAAGCTTTTTGGTCTGCAGCCAAGTGCCAGAGATTCAGCTTGGATTTCTTCACTGCGTGGTCCAGTTCAGTCACACAGCTACAGGCCTGCAGACACTTCTGCCCTGCATCTTCCTCCTTGCCGCAGTCGAGCCTTCTCTTGGCACGCTTTTCAAGCTGTGAGTGCGGGGCTTTAGGAGGGCAAGTGGCTTCCAGGACACCTTGGGTGACTTCTGCCAGGGCTTTTCTAGGAGAAGGAGCCTTTTTGCCCACTTCTGGAGAAGTGGATGGAGTCCTTGTAACCCAGTGCTTAATGGACATCTTGGAGGAAGGGATCGGTCTGGGAGAAGCACATGGGCTGGTTCTTGTCTGCTTGCCTGGGGTGCAGGCTGCAGCAGACTGGGTTTTAAGAGTGCCTGTTGGAGTGTTTGTAGACAGGGGAAGGTCTCCAGAGTCAATGGGAGCACAGGCAGCTGGCTGCGGAGAGGACACGGACAGGCTGCCTGCTGTGAAGGCCTTGGCAGGAGTACTCTGTGGGCTGGCTGGCCGTCCTGGTAGGGGAGAAACAAGTAGTCTGATGAGGAACAGAGCACAGCAGGGTAAAGACAGCCCTTGTATAAACACCCCTTCCAACTAGGAGATGAATTCAGCACTGACCCTGCTTCTCAGGCATACCGTTTGCATTAAGAGGTTGCATAAATCCATCTAATTTTGGTTAAACTTCTACAAGTCTTATGTAAAGCCCTCTGTCATATTGGCAAGTATAATACAGCACGTTTGCGTAACGCCTGACATCTATCCCTCCTGTAACGAGCACTCTCACATAAGCTACAGCCAAGGGCCTTGGCTGCATAGAGACCTCAGAGCAGTTTCCAGTGTCTGAAAGGGGCTACAAGGACACTGGAGAGGGACTCTTCATCAGGGACTGCAGCGACAGGACAGGGGGTGATGGGTTCAAACTGAAACAGGGGGAAGTTCAGGTTAGATCTAAGGCTGAAGCTCTTGCCTGGGAGGGTGCTGAAGTGCTGGCACAGGGTGCCCAGAGAAGCTGCGGCTGCCCAAGACCAGGTTGGACGGGGTGGGGGGGGGGGGGGGGGATATGTGAGGTGTCCCTGCCCATGGCAGGAGGTTGCAACTGGATGATCTTAAGGTCTTTTCCAACCCAAACCATTCTGTGATTCCATGACTGCCGGACAGACAAAACAGATCTTGAATCTCTCAATTCTGTCTAGCTTTGCTGGAAGCCTTGCAACAGCTCAGTCCAGCCAGCTCTGTACTGAGATGCTGCCTGACAGAAGGGCTGGTCCCCAGCTGCACCACCACCTTCAGGGGTTGCACAACTGAGCTGAGGGACAAAGGCACTGTGAGCAGGTCCCACAGCTAACTACGATACCGTGGAAGCCTTATGCTACCACATGAATAATGCGCCTAGGCAGGGAAGACGGGAAACGAAAGGAGTGAGAACAGGAAAGGACACACTTTCGTTCTCTTGCCTTTTTGCTGGAGGATTCCTGCAATGCTATATGAGGATGGTAGTTATTTACCACACCCAGGGAGATGTGAGACATTCTCCACCCTCTGAACAAGAACTTAAATTCCAAGGAAAATCAAATCTGTCACTCTAGAAGATTGTCATTTTAAAACAAATGACTCCCAGACAGATATTTCACAGTGGCTTGTTTGCTCACTAGCGAAGACGTAAACCCCACTGCTTTTAAAATGAGCTTCTGAATACACAGCTTCTTAGAACAGTAGTCATAGGTAGGGGCATAAGGACCTTACTAGTGACAGTGTGGATCATACACAGCAAAGATCTTGATCTGCAGCACTATTAGAGAGGTTTGGTTTTGCTTTATTTTGTTTCGTTTATCGCTATCACCCTCCAACAGCACATCGGTGGCGTTGTTAGATGCCTGCTTCCTCGTTCATCTAGCGTGGCATGATGCAACTAAACAGGCTAGCACCTTAGTTACTCTATGCGTTTCCACTGCTGAGCACAAGAGCTCGAACCGTTTTCTGTATACCAGGGATTTAATCTCAGCATTAGCACTATAAAGCCCTTCATTAGAACAATGAGAAGTCTAGTGTGAATAACCTGCCATTTTCTTTTGGGCGCTGGGCTGTCTCACAAATAACATGTCAAGTGAGCGCCTACATGACTCTTTGATTATATACCATACTAAGCCTCTTTTACTAGCATTATCTAGTATCCAAAATACAAGTGCCGGTGCCTCAGAGCAAAATTAAATAGGATTCCATACTAACGCATCCCACTACAAATCACTAACACAAAACAGAGTTAAAGGCTCCTTTTCCTATAAAATCTGCTACTTCGTAATAACTTGCTTCAATCTGGACTAATAGAAAGTAACTGCCAAAATTGCTTCCCATATTCTTTACTTTAATGAGCCCTTACAAGACAATAATACCTCAACTGGGGAATTAGTGGCTCTTAAAAATCTGAGCTCCTAGAGGAAGAAGAGAAGCAGCAAGCTCAGCAACTCTTGGTCCCTTAATGATCATCTACAAATTCATACAGTGGAAACATTGCACGACTAGCTTGGTACAAGCGCTCTTGATCACAGAACAGCCTGAAAGTTATACTGTGGAGACACTGGATCGGGGAAAACAAAGCTCTTCTGAGAGCTGGATAGGTGTCATGGCAAGAAGCAAACCCAAACTCGAGAAACGTCCCCAACCTTGAGATAAAGAATATGAAGATCAGGTTTCTTTTAAAGACTGCATGCATTATTCAGGCTTCTACCAGGCCAGTTCCAAGCTGTTGCCTTTTATGCTACCACTGAATGTCATACAATATTGTAAATACCTGCAGTCACCTGCGTAACACCAAAGGAGGTTATTTCAGTTGTTTCCTACCTTCTCTGCTACAAATCTTCTAAAGTGATATTATCAATCTCCAGATGGAAGTCACAAACAGCCCATGCACAGCCCTGCTCCAGGAATTTGATTACACAAAAGAAATGGAGAAAGTGGGAAGCCACAAAAATCATTCCTAAAGGGCAGGAAATTGTGCTTGCTGCACTTGATGATAGAGGTCAGCAGCCGATACACAACCTCTATCTCACCATTTGTTCCACAGAGCTACCTAGCTCTCATCCCAGCAGGTCTGAAATAGTACTTTGCTTCTTAGCTCTGAATCAGTCTCTGCAGATAACTCCTACATGCTAACAGCACGTGCTTTGTGCTCGAGACCCAAGGTCAGCAGGAAGCCTGCTGTTGTGTTTGCAGCGTCTGTGTACTTCCTCTTTCCTCCTGTGTTACTTCAATGCAGCAAGGGCGAGGAGAAACAAAGGATTTTTCTGGTATAATTGCCAGAGCTGACTTGTGAAGTTTTAACGTAAAAGCTACTTCAGGTTTCAGGCTTCTGGACTAGACCTGTGCCTGCTTCTCTTTCGCTGAAACTAGTACACAGAGTGAATTCTGAGCCCTCTCTGAAGCAGAGCGTGCAGTTTACCAGCTACAGAGTAGACCTGGCACTCGCCCTGCTATTGTCCTGCAAGCTTCCTTCAAGACTGCTACTCACTGGCAAAAGGTTAGAGGTAATGTTATCCTAGAGGTAATGTTATCCCATTAGGAGGATTTGGAGACCTTCAGCCTTTATTTGTGTTAGCCAAGGTGAAATTCATTTGGAAGGTGGCTAGAAAAGATAGGTGGAACACAGGAAGTCAAACCAGCAGCTGCTGGGAAGCTATTGCGTTCTTAGCTTCAGAGCTACTCCACAGAGAAGCTCATCTTATTTCACTTTCTGGGGGTCCATTCGCCTTTCACCTACTCTACTATAACAAAACATAGGCTTCAAACAAGTTAAAGTAGTGTTATGATCCAGGGCTTCTTTCTTCTGGCCTAGGGTACTGTTCAGTGAGTAGCAGTGGTGAGCTGTGAGAGCCTGCTGCACAGCTTGTCCGGTCACCTAGGCATTTTGTTAACTAGCCTTAACACGTGAATAGGTTAAGGCTACTGACTAATTCTGCAACATTACGATCACATCACGATTGTCTACACACATTTTAGAAGTACTTTCACTATGTGGCATTTGTCTACATAGACAGTACCACTGTATGAAGCTGGGGAAAAAGCAGTAATATTGATAGCAGCAGCAAAGAAATCTGTGTAGAATTCAACTGTAAGCTTAAATTTTAAACTAATTGTGTGTGTGCCTTTACCACAGTAGAATAGGCCAAACTGTTCTAACCTACTAGCACACAGAGAAAAAGGAATGTTCGGCTGATGAAGGAAGGAACATCATGGGTCCGATAACTAAGGAGACAGTAAATAAGACCAAGGATGCCAGCCTTTAAGATAGCAGAGTGGTGCCCAGCATGGAGCGAGATCGGAACAGAACAGAAGCAAGGACATAGCAACCGCTAACTGGGCACTAGGACCTTGCGAGGGTGCGCAAGCACTGAGGTCATTCAGTAAACACAGTGAGGAAGACTGTCGGTGACCACCAAAGACCCCCACTCAGCAAGAAGGCGCGTGCATAATTAGGATGCAAATAGTATAATTAGTTCTGGGAAGCTCATGAATATGTAGATAGTTTCCTGGGAAAGCTGTAAATATGCATGAGTATGCTCAATATAGAGCTGCTGTCGGCAAGTATTGGGTGCGCTCACCTTTGCGGAGCTACTCGCGTGTGCGCCCAGCGCTGCAATAAAGAACGCTGCTTTCTGAAACTCCACATTGAGTCTTAGAGAGCTTCTCTGACCAACTTTTACAGTAACATAACTACTGGGCAGGAGGAAATAGTTCAGAGTTCCAAAGCTGCGTAGGCGCTGTCAGCCCTTTACCGGATTGACTAGCAACCAAGGAAGAAGCATATGATCATACTGCTTTCAGTCATTATTTGATATTAAAAAAAGTGTGATTTGCTGCTACGGCGCACGCACACATTAAACAGCACACACGACATCTCCTTTGGCTATTCAGTTACCGAAACTTGCTTATTCCCACTACAAATCTGGCTGCCCAACAAGCTGTACCAATGAATATCTGCTCTTCAATCTGGTCATACTTCAGCACACTTGTCAGCTATTTCAGCCTGCTTGTCTTGATGGTGGTAGAAGTAATTACAAATAGAAGTGTTTGTCTGGCTATATGAAAAAATAGGAGAATAATAAGACAAGCTGAATTTTTTTGCTGGTACAGAGAACAGCCAAACTTCAGAAGCCAGGCTGCAGAGCTGGGTATCTCAGCTTAGGGGCCTTACTTGCTCCATGCTGTTCTTGTGGCTTCTTCTGAGTGACCCAGCCCACCAAGCTGACTTTGCTGGATGCTGACTTCTCCTCCTCAGGACGATGTTGTAAGCGCCAAATCCTCACAGTGTTGTCATCAGAGCATGTGGCAATCTACAGTAAAAACCATTTTGTTGGAGTAACCAGGGCACATCCTATGGATCACCAGCCAAATGAATTAGAACAGCTACACCCGACACACCATACCGATATGAATGAGGGTGAAGCCTGGTTGAGGGGGTACAAGATTTGCCCACAAAGCAAACAAAACAACCCAACTCTGTTTCATTACTATAACAGACAGCAGTATTTGCTTTAAAGCAGGCAAAGGCTGCTGCCTTCATGACTGTTCTGCTGGAGAAATCTCAGTCACCAGGAACCATTTGCTTGTGTAACTCTGTGATAAGTGACAGTCTGCTCAGGAAGGGCCAGCACATGTTTAGAGATCTCAACCACCCAGCAGACAAAAGCAGCCATGCTGCTCTTTGCACCTGCTGTGAAGTCTGTCTCTGTTACTCAGGGCCTTTTCTGCTTGGGGACACACAGTTGCAACACACTGAGAAGGTCAGGTTGGACAGAGCCTTGGGTGCCACTGTCTAGTGCGAGGCGTCCCTGCCCATTGTTTCATGGTAAAGATAGTATTCCAGAAAACAAACCTTAGTGAAGTCTGAAGGACACCAAGCAATGGAGGTAACTTCCTGAGAGTGACCAAGGAGTATCCGTGGAGGAAGGCTGGGCTCAGAAACCTTAAAAGTTCCGTAGAAAAACAAGTATGACAGTCAGAAGCCCTGCAGTCTAATACATATCACCAAAAGACTCCTCAGCACATGAATACTTCCCATCTTTCCTATGTGGGATGGATAAATCAAATGCTCTCAGACTCTCATCATGAGGCAACAACTGACGGAACCAGTTCACGTTTCAAGAGGGGAAGCAGCTGGTCAGCACTGAGACGTACTGACTTGCCTGGAAACACTTGTTCAATTCAATTCCTGCTACACATTGGATTTCTGCCTCCAGAATTGTCACCCCAGAACTCAACACAAGCATTTTACTCCAAGTACCTCTACCTACTCTAGGTAAGATGCTGAAAAGCTTAGGAGGCTCATACTTTGAATGAGGATAGGCAAATACATTCTGCTGCTTTTTTTACAAATGCCCCATAACGGGTCGATGGTTCGTTAAAGGAATAAAAAGTGCCACCAACAAAATCCTATAGATGAACCTTCACTGGCTTCAGAACTGGCATTTGCGTGACTGCCAAGCGCCTGTAGCTCCTCCAACCAACCGGCTGGACCAGAAGCACTCTTAAGAGTTCGTAAGAATACCTAGTAATCAAAGCATTAACATGAATCCTTGATTACAGGTCATGTTAAGTGCTAGATACAGCTGAAGCTAGCATTAAGTGGTCCAAGGAAGAAAGCACACATCCGTACACACACGCAGAGATTATACCCGAGTTTTCATGCTTTCAGCAGGCAATCCTCTCTGGAGCTATGAGTCACTGTTATCAATGTGACATTCATAAGGGGGATTTATTAAGGGGATTTGCATAAATGACTAAGTGAATGAACAGATCCTTTACTGTGTGGGCAAAGGAGTAGACATTACGTATAGATTTCAAAGGAAGATGCAAGACTTCTGATCTACACTCAAGTTTTGCTCTTGTGAATCACCTCCTACAACAGCCTGCAAACCCACAACTGAATATCCAGCTTCAGATCTTTAAAGCTGCTCTGCTACGAACAGGTTCATCCTAACAGGCAGCCTTTTCTTTTACTGGCATAGCAGAGGCAATCACTTGACTAAATGGCTTGGTCAGAATATTCCCTTCTCTGCCAGAACATGCAACACCATGGAAATTAAATAATTCCCATCCCTATGATGGGAATAAACAACAGGAGATCTCAGTGCAGAGAACACCTTTGTTTATTTTTAATAGCAATCTCGCTCTACACATATAACAGACACAACAGCGTCGTGTCTAATCAGCAGTAACTGATTGCTGAAAGGAAACCAGAGGAACAGAATTACTCTTGCTGAGACACACTGATTTTCCAGTATACTGGTGTGAATTAAATCAACTACACCAAACTGATATTATTGCAGACTAAAGGGACGTGCATAGCTATAACTGTGTCCACTGTGTTTAGCAGAAGACAGTAGGTCAGTCCGTGCATATTAAGCCAAGATTAGCCACAGCGCATGCTGCTTTTTGCCTGATTTGACAGGATATTGGTGGGGAAGTGGGAGCTATTCTGGAACGGGTAAAAAGAAAGAACTAGGAAATGAGACTTTATCTGTTACTCTACTCACTGAAACAGACGTTGTATCCATCTTTAAGATGCAGCACAGAATGGTATATGTATAGCTTAATGTACCACAAGATACAGAGGCACTTAGAATTCTGATGCTTGGAGAGACCTAAGGGTAACTTAATCCACCTCAGAGTGGTCCATACCAAAGGACTCAAAGGACAATGGAAGTATATTTCTATACAGGATAATTTTATTACCAGAAGCTATCTCAGTTAGGTACCATTTTTGTGCAGAGAAACCTCTCTGCTTTCTGGCTTTTATAAACTTTGGGTTGTTCAAGAGTCAGTTCGTCAATCAGTGGGCTAGTAATTAAAAAAAAAAAAACAAAACAAACAAATGACACAACAAAGCAAGTGTTCAGTGCCTAGAAGTGATTTATATATGGAAAAAAGACTGAAACAGCATCCTTGTCAGCAAGAACTTCTAGCCACAGTGTTCCTGGGAATGCTGACCCAAACACAACTTACACTGGTGCAAAAATCTCTCAGAGACATACCCTGAACAAGGTCCTGCTTTGCGTTTCATTCCTCAGCAAGGTCTTCCTCTGCCTTCATCCTTTTCTATATATGAAAGCTAGCGCTCTTCATTAAATCCTTTCCAATGTTAACCGTTAATTGTTCATGCAATATCTAATCACGTTTTTTTCACAGCATGCCAGGAAAAGACACATATGTTTCAGAGTCAGATCTGCCAACATTTAGAACAAATTAAGAAGCCTCTGGATATGACACATCTCAAAAGAGATGGGTTTGCTCCAAAGGCCCACTTTCTAACATGACTGTGATTAAAAGTAATCATCTGATGATTTAATAAATATGCAATATGATCTGTCACTCATATGTGATAGCAACAGAAGCCTTCTGCACAAGAAGGCATTCTCAATATGCCTAATGCTTAAACTTTGAGGTGTAATGACATGTATGAATGCTCTCAACCCAGTCCCAGCCAGTGTTAAAAGAAAGTATCAAGGGACGCAGATGCAGGACACACAACTCAAGTTTGCACAGGTATTTTTGCTGAACTCACGCAGCGCATGAGGAAGGTTAAAATTACACCACTTGGCATGGGAGTAGCCATGCTACGGCACTCCTGCTGCTACTGAGTAAGCATCCCAGCTGCTTACAAGCGTTCTCCAACCAAAGAGACTACGTGCTCAAACCGCAACCTCAGCAGGCTGACCCTCTGCTCTGAAAGGTTTGTATTGTCCTTTCCAACTCCCCTCAAAAAGGGCAAACGAGTCGGCATTCCCTAAAAATCCCCCAAACCTGAAATAGGCAGTCACCTGTGGCTGCTGCCTATTCTACTTCAGTAAGAAGTCTACTCTGCTCCCATATGGGGAACAGAGCTTGAAGCATGCCTTAGTCTGAGGTCCCTGCTATTAACTTGGTGACATTTGCATTTCCTACATGTCAGTACCAGGTGCCAAATGACGAAGCCTCTTGGCTGTCAGATGGTGCTTTTCAGTTTTGATGAAGGCTATGGCTGAGCCCTTGCTGTTCTGCAAACGCGTTAACCGCTGTACATTAAGCGTGAGGAAAAGCTACGTCTGAACCAAGAGCTTGAAAAAGGGGAGGTGGGGGCAAAGAGTGCCCTTTAAAACAATGGAATTGTTAGATTCTGGCTAATACTGCTAAATATGAGCCAAGAGCTGTCTGTCTACTTGCCACAGCTGGCTGAATCAACAGGATTGAAAGAGGATTTTAATACCCATTAAAACCAGATTAAGATCAGCAACTTCCAGTAAGCAGCAGTGATGAGAGATGGACTGATGGCAGGAGGTTAGCTCTGTCCTACATTAAACAGTTACATCCAGCCTCGACAGCAAACAACACGCTCTGGACACAACATGCCAGGAGCTAAATCCATGCTGCTTTGCGGAGGAGCGGGAAGCAGGGAGAGTCCTACATGAACATGAAAAGTAAATGAAATGGAGCAGCTCTGGGTTGCAGACCTGGGTCTCTCCCAACCACCTCACCTTCCAGATGTACGCATTGCAGTCACTCGAGCCACTGATCAGGAACTGGTCATCTGGGCTGGTGCTGGATTTGATGTAAAAGGTTGAATTCTGGTGCCCGCTGAAAACTGCCACTGTGAAGAGAACAGGGTAAAACACACAGTAAATAGAAGCCCTACTCAATGCACAGCCATGGAGTCAGTTGAGCAAGGAGGGCTGAGCTTACAGGCTTTTCCTGCCTAGCCACATATCCTCTGGAGAAAGTGGTTGCTCTGCTGCTCCCTTGCTCTGGCTTTTCATTATCCAATGAAAGCCCTTCAGGCTTTCCAAATGAAGCAACAATGCTCTCCACATCATTAGGGAGCAGTGGCAGCTTCATCAAAGCTTTAGCTTGACCCCTATCACAGGAAGGCAGAGACCTGGGCTGTCCCGCTATTCCAGTTAAGGTTCCTTGTCTCTTCCTCCCTCAGTCACCATCACTCCACTACATTAACAAGAGCAGTCGCACAGAACGCAGAGCAAGGGCCTTCTTCCACCCAGGTGGCAAGAAAAGCACTCACTGCTCCTTTGTCCTGCTGTCAAAATCTTTATTTCATCAAGACTTACATCATGTCAGCCATGCTGCCTGTATGAAAGCCTTGGCAGTGCTTGCTAAAGCCTTGAAACCACCACCCCGAGTGCTTGCCATTCCCCTATTGCGAGGGCCCAAAGGGCTGGCAGCTGGCACAAGAGCTGAGCGTGGAGCTACGGCACTTGGCTGCATCATGTCCCATCCTCTCGGCAGGGGAGAATGAATGAGTTTCTCTGACTTAGTACCCTCTACCAGCCCCGTTTTAACAGTGATTTTGGCAGAGAAGGCAACCCGCAGACCAGAGGATGCGCAGCTGCCTTTGGCACACGTTGAAAAGTTGCAGCACCCCAAAATATCCCCCAGTTTTTACCCACAGCTCCCTCAGAGCAGTGGTTACCAGACAGCCGATCCCTTCCTAAGCCAGACCAACCAGAAAGTCCTGTTATAGCGAGGATGAACTCATGTCCCCGTGCGAGCTAAAAGCTGCCCCAGTACTACGTAGAAGCAGCCACAATCTGGGTAGAAGCTGCTGAGCGAGGAGACAGGCAGCAGCATCCTGCAGGCAGGCGCTGCCCTCTGCGGGAACAGCAGCACATGTTTTATCCGGCTGGATGAATCTGGGCTGCTTGCTGGGCTTTATCAGCTGCACACGGAAGGGAAGAGCTCCATGAGGAGGCCGAGGATGGGATGTGCTGTGTTTTGGAGGGACAGGCCAGTGAGTGCATTTCCACACCTCAGCAGTGGCACTGGGGTTAACCTCAACATCTGAGCTAGTAATATTTACTACTTGCGGCACTTCTGGCCTCTGGAAGCGTTCCTACCCACCAGACTGCCTTCCTGAGGAGCGGACAGAAGGACTCATTGTTCACTTCATGTCAATTAACTGAGAGGCTGAGAAAAACCAATGGAAACTAAGTCGTGTGTGTGGCTGGAATGCATCTAACAAGTCTTGCTGCCTTCTGAGGAGCAGCCACTGGCTTGTGACAGAGCCGCTCAGTGCACCAAAGGCTGTGGGATAACCTTGCCAATGGAAAGGTCACAGACGCAGAACTGAAGGAATCTGAAAAGCTGAAGCATCTCCGAACGCCTTCTCCCAGGGGCTGCGGTAGAAGCTACATTTAAAAGACACGTTAAAATACCCGAATACAACATCTCGGGTGATCCCTCTACATGGATTCATACCTAAGAGTCTGAGACATCAGTGACTACCAGTGAGTAGATTCAAACTTGCTTCAGATGGGTTGCAGCTGGACACTCACCAGGTAACTAGGACCAACATGCAAGTTACCACTAGCCTCTGTCTGGGTGAAGCGGCATCTGCACTTACGTAAATTTTTGTGCTGTTCATTTTATATGGGTAGCTCATCCCAAAATACGAACAGTCCTTGTAACAGGTAACTTTAAGCAGAAGAGCACGGAATAGGTTTTGTAAGTGCTCAATCTGGTCTCTGTCTCTCTCTATCACAGGGAGAAACTCACCTTTCTACACTTTATAACACACCTATTTTTCGCAGCTGTTTTCACAGACACCATGCTTACCTGGAGTGCTCCTCAAACTTGTCATACTGAACATGTAGATACTGTCATCAGTGCAGTTAGCAAACAGATTAGCACCGGTGGAATCCAACACCAGGCTGGAATATCCTATTGGCAAAGAAAGAAATTCTTCATAGGAAGCAACTCCACAAAAAAGCCACTCCAGACAGTTCGGAAAACAGGCATTCTCAAAGAAATCTAGAGAGGGAACTTGGGAAAGGATCTCTATCACGTACGAGATTGTCACTGTACAGTTTGCTTGACAGAGCGCTTCCTGGAGAAGGGAAGTTTCTATGATAACATATATTTAGGAAGCAATCTCACCTTCAGAGCAGGCAAGTGATTTATTTGCTAGTTTCAAGTGGGTAACAGGAACAACCAATTGTAGAAGCAGAGATTAGAAAGAAAGAGAAACCCTCAGGCTTTGGTAGATTAAACCATCCTCTGATGCACCAGTGACTCAGGCTCAAGTAAAATCTTTCCCCTCGAGCAAATTACTTCACAACCAGCTCCTTGAGGATTTCCCTCATGTTCTTGGGACTGCCACTCGACCATTACCGCATTTAGATTAGACACACCAGCAGGAACTGCTGTGTTGCACCACAGCACTGTAAGTCGTTAAGATACAGGGAAGCACAGAGCAACACAGACAAAAGCAGTACTGTTTTTGATAACAAACAGCTTCAAGTGATGCTCAACTCTGGAAGATTATAATGTAAAACCCCAGTCCAGTCTGTTGTCTTTGCAAGATAAAATGCAAATAAAGAGCTCAACCTGATTTCTGCTCGTGCATCAACACGATGCTAGCTAAATTCTACCTCAAGAGCTCTATTATTCCTTCATCTCCATTTCTGAAAGTGCACAGGTGAAGCTTCTTCAAGTCTTTATCACTGTAGTGATGATACAGAAGTGGGGCACTTTCACTCTTCAACTTGGAAATTCGGTATTGGCCACCAAAATACCCTGCTGAGCTCATCAGTCTGATCAGTAAGCGCCTCAGTTATTAATTTATGGGTGCAAACTGAAACAGGGGAAGTTCAGGTTAAATATACGGCAGAAGTTCTTCCCTGTGAGGGTGCTGAGGCACTGGAATAGGCTGCTCAGAGAAGTTGTGAATGCTCCATCCCTGGCAGCGTTCAAGGTCAGGTTGAACAGAGCTTTGGCTGACACGGTTTAGTGCGAGCTGTCCCTGCCCACGGCAGGGGGTTTGGAACCGAATGATCTTAAGGTCCTTTCCAACCCAAACCATTCTACGATTCTGAAGCGAGATGGCCCCGACAGTACTTCTTAAAGTCACTTTGCGCTTTAACAACTACATCCTCCAGTAACTTACCAAGTTTGCGAGTACTGGTCCCAGGGTAGCAAAAGGACTTGCAAGGCATCGGGTCCTGACGGTAAGCAGCGTAGTTCTTGCGCAAGTCCCATACTTTGATCACACTGAAACAGAAAAGCACAAGTGCCTTTAGCTTCAAAATTCCTTTCGCAACGCCGGCAGGATCTTTTAAGAGCACGGGAAGCCTGGCTGCTCATTCCTGAGGAGCGTCCAGTGCTTAGGAACACAATGGAGCAGGAGTAGAGATGGGCTGAAAGCAAACAACTGATCTGCTGGCTATGGATGAGGAAACGGCACTCTCTTCTGTAACTAACACAAGGTACAAGGGCTTTCTTCAACTAGTAATAGGAAGACAGAGATGCCTTTATACTCCTGCTATGTAGGCTTAAAAATAAAGGGCAGGAGAGTCAATCTTATCTGCCCCAGAAAGCCTCTGACCACATGGAGCCTAAAGAGTAGAGTCCTGGGAAGGCAAACTCCATGCTAATCAATGAGACAGTCTGCTCGAGCTGAAAGCTGCTGCAACAGATCTGGCACCTAAAAGAATTCATCTTTTGTAACTCAAGGCAACATCTTCTCAAGCATGCCTACGCACATCCAGGCACCAACCACCCACTTGCATCCCAAAAGAGCTGTCTAACAATAGTCTGTTTACATGTGGTCCCATAGGTCCAGGAGAACGGACAGAGATGGTAAGAACTGCTCTTGTTCTGTCCCATAGCCAAGACACTAAAAGGAGCATTTACCACACAAGCACAATTTGTCCCAGTGCTGCAGCCTCCAGTAAGGAGGAAGAGTGCATTCAGCTTTGCCAATGCAAGCTGGCAGAGTGGCTCTGCTTGATTCTAGCTAATAGTGACTCTACAGCCTTGTGGGCTCACTGAGTGATCTTAGGGAAAAAGCCCTCCCAATCTTTTTGGGCCACCAGGAACACACAGAATAGACAGAAAAGCAGGTATCCACCCTCCTTACCCATCAACAGCTCCTGCAGAGATAAGAGTATGCTCATCCTGAAGCAGCACCACAGTTACACTCTGCTGGAAATCCTTCAAAAGAAAAGGAAAATAAAGAACTTTCTTTTCTTTCAAGGTCTTGCTGCTTACTTCAAGGCCAAGTGAAAACTGAGCAAACCTCCTCCAGCCAGGCAGGAGAACCTGGCAATAGCAGATGCCATTTAAAACACAACAATCCTCCAAACGCTCCCACCTGTGAAACTGCCACTGAGCAGTACGTGTTTGGGCAGCTGTTTGAGACGACAGCTTTCAGGTGAGAGATAAGAGAGCTGCCTTCAATCACCAGGTTTAGTAGATTAAATAAGAGCAGGACATGGTGCCTGCACGAAGATGGCTTTGATGGCACGTGGGCTGTCAGGCAACTAAACAATGTCTAAAATTAGCCACAACAAGTGACCATCACACAAAAAGCTACCTTGGCAAAGACAAATGGAAGCACTGAGCACATTCAAGCCAGGCATTCTCATGATGATTACTTAGGGAGACTTCTGTGAGTACCATTGTCCCTAGAAAAGAGGCCTATATTTTGTTTGTGCCCAGATACCTACCACCAAGGGAGCAAGTCCCCTTAGGTTCTGCCTCTTCCTCTTTGGTTTGGAAGGAGTCTGTTTGTCAACCACATTGTGTGCTCCACTGATTTGCTTCACCTGCCTATAAAATCCATCTGAAAGAAATCCAAGCCGTCTCCGTTATAGCTTCTATGCGATTTTGTTATCACTTTAATAAACCAGGCATCAGCTTGGAATAAATCCTAAACAGTGGCTGAGACTAACCTTCGAAATCACCTCCGTATTCTGAAAACGACAATGGCCAGTTACGTACAAAACAGATGAGAAGAACACAACAGAAAACAGGAGCATATGTTGCAAAAAACTCCAGGTCAGCGTAGCATGGACAGCGAAACTAACACTGGCTTTTGGAAACCATTACCCCTTGGTCTGGTATTCAGCATGCACCCTGGCCCGCAGCACTGGTTTCAAGCATCTCCTCCCGAGCGGAGCTACACTCACGGGAAGATTTCCGGTGCTTTTCCACTGTACTTTATAATCTTCTATTTAGCCTCTTGCCTGCTACTTCCCATTTTATGAAGCCTATTGCTTTACTACTGACTTCTCTACTTTCTTTCCTATACCTTCCACTTCAGCGATGCAGAGCCCCTCTTTTTCCCCACTTGCCAGTTTGAAAAGCCAGGGAAGCTGGGACAGATGGGAGAATGAGACATTCCCTGGCAGCACAGGCCAGGAAACTGCTGAGACAGAGCAGGGAACTGGAAGAGGCATAAGGGCACGACCTGACCAGGGAGGGAAAAGCTCCAGAAAGAGAGGAGCAGAATGAGCTCACCCTGCATTTAGTAGGTGTCCTCACAATACATTCAGTTGCTCCCGGCAATCACAAGCTCCTTTGATCCTGCATTTTCTGCCTGCTCTCCTGCTCTGGCAGAAAGCTTCTGGATGGCTCCGACCTAAACACTCTCACCCAGCCCATCCACCTCTGTGCTGTCCCCGACAGGGATGTATTCTGTACATTCCCTTATCTCCTTACCAACACACAGGGTATTATCAGGCCAGGGCGTACATCATACTGCAGACCTGAGACTGTTGAAAAAATGTGTTCTTTATAGAAGAAATACCTATTCCACCTTTTTACTGCACTGGAACAGTACACTCTTATCTGACAACCCTCCTTTCCTTAACTGAAGTGTTACCTATACTATAATCAAAAGCACTATTAGGTCCAACAAGTACATCTGGGTACTATTTTTACACAAGACACCGGGCTTTTCGGATACACATCAGAAAGTTCAGTTACCTTTCTTGTTGCATCTGGTATCCCAAACCATGATGTTTCCATCTCTACCTCCAGTACAGAAGACAGCTGAGAGAGAGAAAGAGAGTGCTATTAGCTTCCAAAAGCGCTAGTGTAATTAACTAAACACAGTACATCGCGATCTATGTGCCTCTGGCTCTTCTGCCCCAACAGAAGCTGCCAGTCCTAGGAACATGAAAGTCAGGTCATTGTTCTGCTGTACTTTTTAACTAATTTCCTTACTCTTACTGTTAGTTTTTTTTTCCACTACGACTCCAGAGAAACCTGCTTACGAAAGAAGTATTTGCACACTTCAGTACGGAAGCAGGTATCATACCTTAACCTTGCCCAAGACCAGAGATGTGCACACGTTAGCACCGGGGTTGCTGTGAAGTTCCAGGTTAGCCTTGCTTCACTGGCTGGGCTGCCGCTCAGTTGGCCTGAGCTGTTTGTAACTGCCAGTTTCTAAAGCCCTTTTTTAGCCCCCAGAGTACCCATGTGCCAGGGGGAAAGAAGGAAAACGACAGACAACACGGGGTATCAGCATTTACCTCTCTCAAACCTAGAAAAAGCAACCGACTTGAGGCTACACTGGTGACCTTTGCACGCGCCAAGAAGCTCGCCAGCTCGCACGTCCCACACCTTGGCTGTCTGATCTCCTGAGGCAGTGACCTTCAGAGGAAAGCAGAAGAAGCTTTTGTCATTCTCTGCACACAGCTGCCAAAGCCTTGAGCATAAAGTTAGGTGGCAAATCGCTGCTTACAATCCTGTGTTCCCCTGGTACCCAGGCAAGGTCAAACACGGCATTGGAGTGAGCCTGCCACTCTAAGGAGGAAACAAAAGCCAAGATTAGCTCCGTGCATTGCAGAAGACTAAGGAACATCAAGCACTGAAATCAGACAACTTGGCCACAGCTCGCCTGAGGCATGAAAAACAACACGGAACAATTCACCTACCGCTGCCGTTGTAAGAGCACACTCCTGCTGCTGCCTTGTAAAGAAGGCTCAGCAAAGTATATGAAGGGATGTAAGTACTGCCCACGCTTATGTTTAAAGGACTTGCAAAAAGCTTTCCTTGATTGCAGTAAGCCACGTGCCTGTCACACCAAATGCGGATCACCTTCTGTACAGCACTTACCTTTAAAGATGTGTTTGCTGGGGGTTTGAGCTTCAGCATCGTACAGTCTGACAAAGCCTTCTTCATTCGCAACTGCCAGGACATGCTCCCAATTAGGGGCTGAAAAGAAATGGAAAGGTAGCCGTGCGTTATGCAGCTCATTCATAATCATGCCCCTGCTCTTCGTGAAGGGCCACAGACACATTACATCCCGTCAAAGGAGGTACACAGCAAACAGATGGCTGTGAAATAAGCACTGTTTACATAGCAATTTAAAATACAATGCAGAAAGATTGGCAAGCATCTTTTCTAAATGTTCCAGGCAGGAGCTGCTATACTGCACGTGGGCGGCCAAATGGCTCCAGGAGCAGCTTCTGTCCCCAGCTGTAATAGCTTTCTAGTCACAGTTCTGTGTATCTATACTATTTATCATCTCCAACCTCCAGCGCTTTCTATGGAGCTGAGATGGAAAAGCAGGAAACTGCCTCGGACTAAGCTCCCGCCAGGCTGGGAGTACTACAAATGAGTTCTGTCCCATATACGCTCCATTCATCATGCTTTTGCCACGGGGAAATGCTGCACGTGGGTCTAGTGGCATCCATGCATCGCTGGTTTCTATGCACTGTTCTCCAGCCTGTTACCTCTTCCGTATATTTTGAACAAAGCCCAGTTTCAGCCCTGCAGCCTAGCGCTGTCACCAAGAGAAGGCACCTCGAAACAAAGAGCCATTAGAAGGAATGCTTTATAGTTGCTTCTTTAAGGGAATACATTCCACCGGGATATCTAGGAGCACCACGATCCAATTTGTATCACATCCGAATGCAAGGACGCGATCCCCAGCCTACTGTAAAACTCGGAAATCAAGCAATGAAATACAATGAAATCCACAACCCCAGCACACAAAACAGGAGCGGACAGCGGTGCCCTCACCCGGGCCCCCAAGGAAGTCCTTTCGGAGATGACTTTACCTGTCGAAAAGGCGCAGCCGAACGGAGGGACCGGCATTCCCGTTTCCCCGTAAGAGAGATGGTCATATTCCCGCCTGCACTGGTAGCCGTCCAACAGGTGCTGCAGAGGAAGCGGCGAGCACCGACCTGCAAAGGCACAACGAGACGAGACCGTAACCGCACCAGACGCCGCCCGAAGGGCTCCGAGACCGCCGCTGCGGCAGCGGGCGGCCCGGGGCTGAGGCTGCCGCGGTCCCGCGGGCCGGCGCACAAGCGGCAGCAGCGCGGTGCGCGGCTCGGCCGCGGTACTCACGGTGCGGCGAGGCCGAGGCGCGGCGGAGCAGTGCGCGGCACAGCATGGCCCGGCAGAGACGGAAACCGAGTCAACTCCCGCCACCGACCCGGCCCGCCAAAAGCGCCCTCGGCCCCTCATTGGACAGAACGTGCATTCATCGCCGCACCTTCTTCCTTCTGATTGGCTGGCGGAAAAACGCAGAGGCTTCAGGACACACCTATCACGTACCCTAGCGTTCCAAACCTACTGCGCATGCGTGAAGTTGCTGCCCTACCACGCATGCGTAATGTTTCTGAACTACTACGCATGCGCAAATTATACAGACAATACTGCGCATGCGCTGAAATTTTGAAGCTGCTGCGCATGCGCGACTCTGTCCAAATTTAATGCGCATGCGCATTTTTACTACTATTTCTAAGCTACAGCGCATGCGCCAAGAGTCCTGAGCTAGTGCGCATGCGTACGGAGCCAGGAGCTACTGCGCATGCGTACTTACTCAGAGAGAGTACGCATGCGCCAAACATTAGAGATCTACTGCGCATGCGCGACTTCTCTGACCTACTACGCATGCGCTAAACCTCCGAGCTACTGCGCATGCGTACTTCCCAGGAGCTAGTGCGCATGCGTGCAAGCCTCTGACTTTCTGCGCATGCGCAAGGTTTCTGAGCTACTGCGCATGCGTCTTCGGCCCTGAGATAGTGCGCATGCGTACAGAGCCAGGAGCTACTGCGCATGCGCAGTTAATCAGAGAGAATACGCATGCGCTAAACATTAGAAATCTACTGCGCATGCGCGATTTTCTGACCTCCTACGCATGCGCTAAAGCTAATGAGCTACTGCGCATGCTTACTTCCCAGGAGCCAGTGCACATGCGTAATGCCTCTGAATTTCCGAGATACTGCGCATGCGTTATCGGTCCTGAGCTAGTGCGCATGCGTACCGAGCCAGGAAGTACTGCGCATGCGTTATCAGCCCTGAGATAGTGCGCATGCGTACGTCCTCAGAGAGAATACGCATGCGCAAAAAAATTTATCAAAACCTACTGCGCATGCGTGAAGTTGCTAACCTACCACGCATGCGTATTGCTTCTGAACTGCTGCGCATGCGCAAATTATCCAGCCTATACTGCGCATGCGCTAAACCTTTGACGTTCCTGCGCATGCGCGACTCTGCCGGTATTTAAGGCGCATGCGCTAATTTTTGACAATACTGCGCATGCTCTAAAGTACCTAAGCTACTGCGCATGCGTTACCTGTCCTGAGCTACTGCGCATGCGTACTTCCCAGGAGCTAGAGCGCATGCGTACATGCCTCTGAGCTTATGCGCATGCGCAACGGTTCCGAGCTACTGCGCATGCGTTATCGATCCTGAGCTAGTGCGCATGCGTAGCACCCCGGAAGTACTGCGCATGCGTAAATCGTCAGAGAGAGTACGCATGCGCAGAACATTAAAAAAGGACTGCGCATGCGCGACTTGGCTGACCTCCGGAGCTACTGCGCATGCGTTCTTCCCAGGAGATAATGCGCATGCGTACATGTTTCTGAGTTTCTGCGCATGCGCAACGGTTCCGACATACTGCGCATGCGTTATCGGTCCTGAGCTAGTCCGCATGCGTACAGAGCCAGGAGCTACTGCGCATGCGCTGGTAATCAGACAGAGTACGCATGCGCATAAAATTTAGAACTCTACTGCGCATGCGCCACATCTCCGGCGTACTGCGCATGCGTTATCTGTCCTGACCTAGTGCGCATGCGTACTTCGCAAGAGATAGTGCGCATGCGTACACGTCTCTGAGCTTCTGCTCATGCGCAACCTTTCCGAGCTACTGCGCATGCGTTATCGGTCCTGAGACAGTACGCATGCGTACCACTTCGGAAGTACTGCGCATGCGTAAATCCTCGGAGAGAGTACGCATGCGCAGACCATTAAAAAAAAAAAAAAAGGGGACTGCGCATGCGCGACTTGGCTGACCTACGACGCATGCGCTTAACCTAATGAGCTACTGCGCATGCGTACTTCCCTGGAGATATTGCGCATGCGTACATGTTTCAGAGTTTCTGCGCATGCGCCACTTTTCTGACCTACTGCGCATGCGTTATCTGTCCTGAGTTACTGCGCATGCGTACTTCCCGAGAGCTAGTGCGCATGCGTACACGTCTCTGAGCTTCTGCGCATGCGCAACCTTTCCGAGCTACTGCGCATGCGTTATCGGTGCAGAGATAGTGCGCATGCGTAGCACCCCGGAAGTACTGCGCATGCGTAAGTCCCAGAGAAAGTACGCATGCGCATAACATTAAAATATTTACTGCGCATGCGCGACTTTTGCGACCTACGACGCATGCGCTTAACCTCCTGAAGTACTGCGCATGCGTGCTTCCCAGAAGCTAGTGCGCATGCGTACATGCCTCTGCGATTCTGTGCATGCGCACGGTTTCCGAGCTACTGGGCATGCGTACTTACACAGAGAGAGTACGCATGCGCTGAATATTAGCAATCTACTGCGCATGCGCGACTTGTCTCATCTACTACGCATGCGTTATTCGTCGTGAGTAAGTGCGCATGCGTGAAGTTGCTGACCTACTGCGCATGCGTGTTGCTTCCGACCTACTGCGCATGCGCAAGTTATCCAGACTACACTGCGCATGCGCTATAATTCCAAACCTACTGCGCATGCGTTACCGGTCCTGAGATAGTGCGCATGCGTACCGAGCCAGGAGCTACTGCGCATGCGTACTTGCTCAGAGGGAGTACGCATGCGCTAACCATTAGAAATCTACTGCGCATGCGCGATTTGTCTGACCTACTACGCATGCGTTACCTGTCCTGAGTTACTGCGCATGCGTTCTTCCCACGAGCTAGTGCGCATGCGTACATGTCTCTGAGCTACTGCGCATGCGCAACCTTTCCGAGCTACTGCGCATGCGTTATCGGTCCTGAGCTAGTGCGCATGCGTAGCACGCCGGAAGTACTACGCATGCGTAAATTCTCAGAGAAAGTACGCATGCGCATAACATTAAAATATTTACTGCGCATGCACGACTTTTGCGACCTACGACGCATGCGCTTAACCTCCTGAGCTACTGCGCATGCGTACGTTTCAGGAGCTAGTGCGCATGCGTACGGTTTCCGAGCTACTGGGCATGCGTACTTACTCAGAGAGAGTACGCATGCGCTAAATATTAGAAATCTACTGCGCATGCGCGACTTGTCTGACGTACTACGCATGCCGTCCACTTCTGCGCATGCGTTATTCGTCCTGAAAAAGTGCGCATGCGTGCAGTCGCTGACCTACTGCGCATGCGTATTGCTTCCGAACTACTGCGCATGCGCCATAGTTCCAGACCTACTGCGCATGCGTTACGTTTCCTGAGTTAGTGCTCATGCGTACCGAGCCAGGAGCTACTGCGCATGTGTAGTTACTCAGAGAGATTACGCATGCGCTTAAAAAAAAAAAAAAAATTACACATCTAGTCCGCATGCGCAATTTGGCTGGCCTACAACGCATGCGCTAAAGCTTTCGAGCTACTGCGCATGCGTATTTTCCCAGGAGCTATTGCGCATGCGTACATGCCGTTGAATTTCTGCGCATGCGCATTGTTTCGGAGCTACTGCGCATGCGTTGTCTGTCTTGAGATAGTGCGCATGCGTACCTTGCCGGAAGTACTGCGCATGCGTAGGTCCTCAGAGAGACTACGCATGCGCAAGATATTATCAGACCCTACTGCGCATGCGTGAAGTTCCTGACCTACTACGCATGCGTATTGGTTCTGAACTGCTGCGCATGCGCTAATTATCCGGAGCTACGGCGCATGCGTATTTTTCAGGAGATAGTGCGCATGCGTACTTGCCCTTGGGTTTCTGCGCATGCGCAGTGTTATGGTTCTTCTGCGCATGTGTTATCGGGCCTGAGCTAGTGCGCATGCCTACAGCGCCGGAAGCACTGCGCATGCGTACGTCCTCAGAGAGACTACGCATGCGTACAAATTATGCAAACCTACTGCGCATGCGTGAAGTTGCTGACTTACTACGCATGCGTATTGCTACTGAACTACTGCGCATGCGCTTTATCCTTAATATACTGCGCTTGCGCTAAAATTCCTCAGGTACTGCGCATGCGTTTCCGGTCCTGAGTTAGTGCGCATGCGTTCCGAGCCATGGCTACTGCGCATGCATAGTTTTTCAGAGAAAGTACGCACGCGCTAAAAAAAAAAAAAAAATACAAATCTAGTCCGCATGCGCCATTTGTCTGACCTACTACGCATGTGCTAAACCTCTTCCCAGGAGCTGGTGCGTATCTGTGCTTGTGTGCTGCGCATGCGCTAATGCGCGGTCGTTAAGGCGTGCGTGTGCGCCGCTCCGGTGCCGGTCGGTGCGGAGGGGATGGCGGGCAGCGGGAAGTCCTTCCTGTCCGAGGCGGGCTATGGTGAGCAGGAGCTGGACGCTAACTCCGCCCTCATGGAACTGGACAAAGGTGAGGCCGCGCGGGGCTGGGGTCGCCTGCCTCGTAGGGTTTGCCGTGAGCGTCGTCGGCTTGCGGTCTCTGAGGGGCGGTGTCGTCCCGGGCTGCGGTCCCCAGGTGCCGGGAGGTGGGTTTTGTACCGTGAGCGGGGGGTGGAGAGGGGCCTGGCTGGGAAGGAGTGTCGGCGTGTCGGATCTGCAGTGATCGCTGATGTCTCGCTTAGGTCTGAGGTCTGGGAAGCTCGGGGAGCAGTGCGAAGCCGTCGTTCGTTTTCCCCGGCTCTTCCAGAAATACCCTTTCCCCATTCTCATTAATTCAGCTTTCCTGAAGTTGGCTGATGTGTTCAGGGTCGGGTGAGTAGCATCGGGCCGTCTTTTATCTATAGCAGTGTATTGGGTCTTGCGGCGCTGCTGCACGGGAGCTTGGGCAGCTGTGGGGTTTTTTTCTACGTGCGTGATAATACTGCTGCACTGAGGACGAGTTGTGCTCGGTTGAAGCTTGCTTTCTCTGCCCTTAGTTGGGCTTAAGTGTCTCTGAGTTATCAGTGACCCGGTTCTTTTCCATCTGTCCTGACAGGAGGATTCACTTGCTGGTTGGTGTTAATTCTACTCCAAAGACATGTTCCAGTTTCTTATTAATAAATAGGGGAATGATGCTATGTGCGGGTTCCGTCTCCAAGGAATGTTAATAACGAAGGCCAAAGCGTAGCTTTGGCAAGTGCCTGATGTGTAAATAGTGCATGTGGTGGAATTGGGGCTATTTTGTCATCGCTTACAAGGTTATCTGTTGCCGTTAGCTCAAGGAAGGAGAGGAAATTCACTCACACCTGGCAATGGCAATTAAACTTTTCCGGACGTGCTTTCCTATCACGTTTTTATCTCTTAAGTGTGCGCAAAACAGGCGTCCAGTGTCCAGTGTCTGAATGGGGCTACAAGGACAATGGAGAGGGACTGTAGCAACAGGACAAGGGGTGATGGGTTCAAACTGAAAGAGGGCGAGTTTTCAGGTTAGATCTAAGGCAGAAGCTCTTCCCTGTGAGGGTGCTGAGGCGCTGGCACAGGGTGCCCAGGGAAGCTGTGGCTGCCCCATCCCTGGCAGTGCTCAAGGCCAGGTTGGACACAGGGGCTTGGAGCAAGCTGCTCTAGTGGGAGGTGCGCCTGCCCGAGGCGAGGGGTTGGAACTGGATGAGGTTGAAGGTCCTTTCCAGCCCATCCCATTCTATGATTCTACGATTTGCATGCGCTCTCCTCCCTCGTGTCAGTGAGTTAATTTCCCTGAAACTGGGCCTGATTTTGACACTGCCTGCACTAGAAGGTAAAACACCGGTGTGGCCGTAGTCTCTTTTTTATTCTATTAGTCCAATACAGTGTTTCTAAAGCATAGACTTTTCCTTGTTTTAATTTACTCTTGGAAGGTTGTTTTGGTTTTTATGATACTTTCCTATTTAGAGTGCTTGAATATTTATTCTAAAGCAGCCTGATAAAGAAACGTGTGTGCAAACGTGCGTGTCTCCTAACAGAAACAACTTCCTGAGGCTCTGCGTGCTCAAAGTTACGCAGCAGAGTGAGAAGCACTTGGAGAAGATCCTAAATGTGGATGAATTCGTCAAAAGAGTTTTCTCCGTAATTCACAGCAATGATCCAGTTGCTCGGGCCATTACACTTCGGTATGTAATGACATTAATGAACCTCATGCTCTTAGTGTGCTGGTCTGGAAGAGCAAACTACTGTCAATGAAGTTTAGGAGGCGTTTTCTACGTTGCTCGTAGAGTGAAAAGGCAAAGGCTTTGTCTTTAATGGTGGTGAATGATAAAGATCTGAGATCAGAAGAGCGAGGTTATCAACCGCTGGCAACGGCGAGAGCTTTGCGGATGGCTTCGGGCAAACCGGGATTTGCAGCCCTGAAATGTTGTGTTCTGAGGAGAAAAATGAACCTCTTTTATGCATAACCCAGAGAGTAGCTGCATGTAACATATCCTATGTTGCCCGTGGTATAGTTAGGCCAGGGCCAAAAGGAAAGTGTTTCCTTACGTGTCAAAATTGGTATGCTTCCATCTGGGTCTCATTAATGGTTCTCATAGGTGTTTACTGCTTGCTGGTCTCTGGTCGGTAACTTCGAAAGAAGTGCCATTGTATGGTTGATTGCTTTGGACTTCCTGCAATAAGATAAAGAAACCAGTAAAATTAAGCTGTCTTTTCACGTCGCAGTCCTGCTGCCTTGGTGTCTGCGTCCGACAGTGTGCAACATTAACATCTTAACTGCATCTTCCAGCTCCTGTGCGCGCGAATTCAAATGTGAAGACAGAGCCTTTCTTTCTCCCTTTGTATTCTCTTCTTCAGTCCATCTAGAACTGTTACTGATGTCGCTGTTGAAGGATGGGAGGCATTGACAGGGGTTTGTTCGATGAGCTCCCGTGTCCATTTCTTTATTGTCCATTTCAGTATTTTGAGGATTTATTTATTTATTATGCTTTCATGCTTTGGTGTCTCAGAAATTTGTAATTATAGCCTATCTCCGTGTTTTATTGTCGTTCCGCTTCGGTATTCTAACGGCAGGTTACAGTTGTTGACTGGTATAGAGGTCTGGCTTTGCAGACTGTCAGAAGCCCCAGGAATCTGCTTAGTCTGAAAAGAAACTTAAATTACAAACCAGTTCATGGGATGCATCAAGTGAAAGGGTAAAATGGCAGTTGCAGCTGAAAATCCTTGTTGATTTGTTTTTGTCTTCCCTAAGTAGTGTCAGTAAGGAAGAATGTGCTGGAAGAAAGATCTGCTCAAACACAACTTGGTGCCTGTGGGATTGCAGTGCTCCATAGCTGTGTGTAAATGCTTGCTTAGAACTCTTGCAAAAAGTACCATCGGTGCAAATCCTGCGTTTGTTCTTTAGGAACTGGATTGTGCTCAACCTGCCTGAAAAGCATCCTTGGCATATCGTTAGCAAAGTATAGACTGATTTACTCCTTTTTTAGCAGTTACACAAAAGGTAATGCGCTACTCCCAGTAATAACTTTATCTCGCGTCAGCAAAAGATCTTAGAAACAAATGATGTAAATCAGATACTTGGTTGCTCACGATAACGCTCTGGAAACCTTGCTTTCTTTCTTAGCATGTGGTAAAACTTGCTGAGCGTTTGGAGATTTGTCACTTACTTAGGTTTGCAGTCTGAATTGGGAAGGGAGTTAGAAATGGTGGAAACGCTTCTCTAAATACTGGGGGGGGGGGGGGGGGGGTATCCCCCTATACTGCCACATTTCTGAATTTATATCCCATAATGTGCACTTCACGGGTGTCTGAAAAGAGCCATCGAGGCACTTTAGCATTAAATCTCCTGCGTTGATACCAGAGCTTGAATGTAAAAGCACCTTACAAAAACTTGTTCCGAGTGCTGTAGTGGGGTGTTTCTCACTGTGCCCCTTTTGAGGTGAAAGGCATCAAGCCGTAATTCATGTTCTGTTAAACCACTGCCATAACCCACATGGCAAAACTTGTTACCTTTTAATTCTGTTCCTGCTTTTAGCATTGTTGCTCGCTGCGACTGCCTGACAGGAGGATGGAGCTGCCCCAGGGCCGGTTTAGATGGAGCTGAGGAGCAATTCCTGCCCCAGAGGGTGCTCGGGCATTGGAACAGGCTGCCCGGGGCAGGGCTGCAGTCACCGTCCCCGCAAGTGTTCACGCACCGTGTGTGTAGATGAGGCCTCGGTGCCATGGGTCAGTGGTGGCCGTGGCAGGGCTGGGGAACGGTTGGACTGGGTGAGCTTAAAGGGTTTCTCCAGCCTGGTTGATTCTGTGGTTCTGTTTGTTTGCTTCTGTAATAGATGTGCAGGAGCACACGTTCATATCAAAACGGTGTTTTAACCAGTCCTTCTCCGTTTCTGTTTGGTTCCATCTTGCATTTCTTCACGATCACTGTTCTTCCTGATTTTGCTGTGATCTCGTTCTGTAGGATGTTGGGCAGCATGGCATCTATCATTCCAGAAAGGAAGAATGCACATCACAGTATTCGCCAAAGTTTGGATTCCCACGATAACGTAGAAGTTGAAGCTGCAATATTTGCTGCTGCCAATTTTTCTGCACAGTCAAAGTAAGATGTCATTTCCGTTTTCAGTTTTATATCGCAGAGAACGGAAGCTCCATTAGCACTGGCATTCACAAAGCTTCGGTACTGCCAACCGTGTCATTTTTAGCAAAACATTTAATTGTGTGTAATTACAAAATTGCAAGGAAATCTGAGCACAACTCTAACAGATATTTATTTTTTCTAAAATAGTAATAGAAAGCTCATAACTATGGGAATGCAAAGTGGAATAGCAGCTTTAATCAGTGATTATTTTACATAAATCATATTCTGGAACAAAACATAGTGCTGCTTGTCCCTTCGGCATGTTCTTAGAAGCTTGCATTTGACCATGCCCGTGTGCAGGGTTTCTAAAAGAGCTTAGATCCTGGCAAGCACTCTTTTGTGAAAGCTTTTATTGTTAAAGCAGAGTGTTTGGTAGGTCAATTGAGTTTTATTTTGAATGATTGCCCTGTTGTATTTATCTCGCCTGATACTTTTCCTTTTCTCTACAGGGATTTTGCTGCTGGCATATGTAATAAAATCAGTGAGATGATACAAGGTACATGTGTTATATTGAGTGATAAAAGGGAAAACCTAATTTCCCTGAGAATTCCTTATTATCCTTATGTAAATATTAGATGCTGTTGCCCTTATCCTCAAATGATTCGTGGTTTTAAATTAAATTAGCTAACCGTTAATCTAACGCCTGGCTCTTACATCCTCTTAAAATCTAAGTTCTCAAAACACCTGTTTAGTAAAGAGGGAAAGCTCATCTATAGCGTGATGAATAAACTTGCATAGGCCTATCACAGGTTGCTTCAGGTGAGTTAATCGTAGAATCATTGAATGGTTTGGATTGGAAAGGACCTTCAACCTCATCCAGTTCCAACCCCTTGCCTCGGGCAGGCGCACCTCCCACTCGAGCAGCTTGCTCCAAGCCCCTGTGTCCAACCTGGCCTTGAGCACTGCCAGGGATGGGGCAGCCACAGCTTCTCTGGGCACCCTGTGCCAGCGCCTCAGCACCCTCACAGGGAAGAGCTTCTGCCTTAGATCCGACCTGAACTTGCCCTTTTCAAGTTTAAACCCATCACCCCTTGACCTGTTGCTGCAGTCCCTGATAAGTCCTGGTAGCCCCCTTCAGACCCTGGAAGCTGCTCTGAGGTCTCCACGCAGCTTCTCTTCTCCAGGCTGAAGAGCCCCAGTTTTCTCAGCCTGTCTGCATATGAGAGGTGCTGCAGCCCCTGCTCATCCTCGTGGCCTCCTTTGGACTTGCTCCACCAGCTCCAAGTCCTCTTTACGTTGAGGACACCAGAAGTGTCTGTTACCTGCAGTGAAGCAAGGAACAACCTTCTCCAAGAACCGTGGAAGTGCTTGGTACTGCTGTCCTTACGCTGGTAGATCGGTTGGTTATTTGGAGCTGACACAGGTGTCTGTACAATCTGCAGTCAGCAGTGGTAGCAATGCAGGCATACTTGGGCCTCGCTAGTGCCAAAAGCTAGTACAAAGGACTAGCACTGCTTATGTTTCTCTTCCCTGTTGCAGGTTTGGCCACACCTGTGGACTTGAAATTGAAGTTGATCCCTATTCTACAGCACATGCATCATGATGCTAGCCTGGCCTCCAGCTCCCGGCAGCTGCTCCAGCAGCTGGTAACGTCGTATCCCTCTACCAAGATGGTCATTGTTACTCTGCACACCTTTACTCTGCTTGCTGCTTCTTCTCTGGTTGACATTCCTAAGCAGGTAATTCTTCCTAATTACGTCTTTCAACTTTAAGTACCTTTAAAAGACCTCAGATTCTAGCTGATGCTGAGTATAAATCAATGGATATGCTGGGATGGTTGCTTCTATGTGCTAGAGAGAAAGAGCACCCCGAAAACTGCTGCTGCTTTCATATTTTTTGCCCTCTCTGCTCCTATTTCCAGATAACCCCGTCAAACCCGGGAACCCTTCTTTACAGGTCATGGCCTGTCTTTCTTTAAAACAGTTGAGATTGAAATCAGGTAGGACCTTAACATCAACCCTGACCTACTCTGAAAATACGCAACTTTGCCTGTAGAGCCCAGGCTTCGCTTCTCACTACTGTGCATTCTCTCAGGTCCTGGGTGTGTGTTTTGCCTTCCTTGCATGCAAGCAAAGGAATATTTCAATAGCAGAGGGTGCGCGTTTGAAAAGGTATTTCTTGAAGAGCTCCGAGGAGGTTGATTCTGTTGCTGTAATTTAGGACTGCAAACCAAGGTTGTGGGAAAACAGCGATAGAAAAATACAATACTTTTATGTTCTGATAGTGTGCTTTGTGGACATGATTTATGTAGCAGGTCTGAACACAGGGACTCTTGAGACTAACTGTTCCTTGTAGGCATGAACGTCGTTGCTTTCTTTCCATCCTGTACAGCTATGAAAGGCTGGTGTCGCTGTTAAACCAGTAACATTGATCTGTCTGAAACTTCTTTTTTGATGTGGCTGATTTTTGTATTTCAGAGGATGCTTCGATAGTACCTAATCTAAGCCAACTGAAACAACATTAGAACACTCTATAGGCTTTTCTGGGTGGTTATTTTTTTAATGAGTAAAGAGCGGTGATTTATTACCTTTATGAGGTAGGATTGGTGATTTAGGCTGTATTTCTGTAACAGAACAGCCAATGCTGCTTAAAAGTGATATAGCCAGGGTGGGGATGGAAGGCAAAACCATGGCCAGCACATTCATACTTTTTCACGTGCTGGCTAGTCCATCTTTCCATCTCTGTGAAGTTTCAGAAAAAGACCACCGCAAGTGTCATTTAATTTGAGATCAAGGCTTCAGAAGGGGTAGGTAGGGGTTGGGTGTGTTTGGGTTTCAGGGTTTTTTTTTTTTGGCAACTACATAGAAGATGTCTGTGTTGCTGTCTGTTAACTGCAGCCACCCAAATTAGCTTCAAATGCCCAGAGTAGTTGCTAGTAGCATATTCACAACAGCGTAAGTTTGGTTTCTTTTTTTTTTTTACTGAGCTTCTTGGAGATATCTTATGGTAGTTCTCAGAATGCCAGAACAGCTTTCAAGGCTTCTCAGGTATGCAGGGTGAGAGAAGATAGAGAAGGATGTTTGAACAAGCAAAGCAGCGTGGTAGAAATCAGCTGTCAGACTATTTTAGCTTGCCATGGCATTACAGCCTAAGCAGCGGCTTTTCCACGTGGTGGAAATCAGACAGATATGGCAAGTTACTTTTGGCTGAGTATGCTCAAAATTCCTTCACAAGTAAGTACCTTTAAAAAGCCTTTCCTTCTAGTAGCATCTCTCTTAAACAGTGAATTTACCTTGTCGCAGATCCAGCTTTTGTTGCAGTACTTGAAGAATGACCCCAGGAAGGCTGTGAAGAGGCTTGCAATCCAAGATCTAAAGTTGTTGGCCAACAAGACACCCCATACGTGGAGCAGAGAAAATATTCAGGTTGGTACATTCTTTTAAGCTATAGTTTGTTACGGAAACTTGCAATTAGTTGCAGGATTCTTTCCAGGAGAACAATTTTGGAGGTAAACAAACTGTTACAAGGCAAAATAATGATGTATGTCTCTTAAGACTGGAGAACTGTCTTAACGTCTTCAGCAATATTTGATCAATGAGAACTGATAACGTTTTTGCAACTGATTTTTAAGTAAGAAATGACTTGGAGTTGGCGCTTCCTAGCGTATGAAACCCACTGTCCTTTTTCTGCAAGCCATGTTCTAGATCTACTACTAAAACAGATGCTTCAGGACATGACTTCTGATTTTGATTTCAGTATAGTCTGTTTTGACTCTCAAAACTTTTCACAGCCAACTGCAACTAAACCTTGAGTACTGATAGCTCATGGGACTTCCCTCCCTCTGGATCTTTTCTCCTGCTACTCTTTAGGCACTGTGTGAATCTGCTCTTCACACTCCTTACGACAGCTTGAAGCTGGGCATGCTGTCTGTTCTTTCCGTGTTATCGGGGACCATTGCCATTAAACAGTACTTCAGCACTGCTCCAGGTAAGAAAACAAGATCATATGGTTATCTTTGGCATTTTGGATGCTTTGACCTGTCTGTCTACTGATAATCAGTTTCATCTGAACATTTTGTAGTGTGTTCTGAAACTGGGTTTGACCTTCAGCATACTAGGTTGGAGTCAGAATGTGTTCATCATATGTAAACTTAAAATGGGATGCTTGTACACCCATGAATAGTCGTGGTCTAAGATTTTCTTCTTGATTTTGTGGTTAATGTGCTTTATGAAAGATTTTCTTACCTTTGGGTCTTATAGGCCCTCAGTGATATGGTTTAGTGGTGGTCTTGGCGATCCTGGGGTAATGGCTGGACTTGGTTATCTTAAAGGTCTTTCCCAACCTGGTTGATTCTATGATCCTTCAACTTTTCTTCATCCAATGAAGAAATGTAATGCCTCCCAAGTGGCTGTCGTATGTTCTGCTTTGAAACCATGGCTTTGCATAGTTTTTGAGTAGCATGAAGACTTAATGGTGTTGAGTGTGGGCTGGCATATTATCCTGGCTCAGTGAAGCTTTGCCACATTTGTGGGAATGACCCGCTTCAGTACCAGGTGAACCTTTCGGCCTTGTGACTGTATTTTGAAGAAATAGAGTAGACATTTAAAAGTGATTCGGGGTATCTTGTTCTTAAAATGATGATCACATGGCTTTCTTTTTCTTCTCAAAATCCGGACTGCCCTAACGAGTCACTACAAGCCCAACTACATGGGCTGCAGAAACAGAGAAAAATAGTACATCCTCTTCAGTCATTCTGGCATGTCTTAATAATTGATATGTTCACCAGCTTTTTTAATGAGACGTAATAATTCTTAAGGCAATACTTCTCCGGGTCCCTGAAACGTCAGGCTTTAGACCCAAATATTCTTTCTAATCTCTAACTCGTACAGTGTTCAGGAACGGAGGGAGAGCCTCTGTGTGTGCGGAAAGAGACGCTTCCATCCTGTCCTTTAGCCATAAGAAAAGAAATAATCCTAAATCGATATAGACTTTCTGTAGAAACGTACTTGAAGAGATCTCTGATGCAATTACGAACTGGGCTGATTTATGTCCTGTTTGCCTTGTCTTTGTTTAGGAGCAGCAGCTACAACTGCGAGGTCATTTGATTTAGTAAAACTGGCACAGGAGTGCTGTTACCATAATAACCGTGGCATTGCAGCTCATGGTGTGAGAATTCTGACTAATATATCAGCCTCTTGTCAGGAAAAAGGTAAATGAAAGCAAGGACAGTGAAATGTGTCTGTTTACAGTTAGGCTTATGCACTTAACATGTGTTAACTGGTCGTGTCTGAGAACCTGTCTGTAAATCTGTCTGATCCTTCATGCTGGTTTGGGAGAATGGGGCCTGTAATCTAGCAGAGAATATTCTCTATGATTTTATGAATGGCTAGAAAGGTTCCATTTTGATTTAGGATTGCTTATCAGCCTTTGAAAACTCTTTGCACAAAGCTTGTTGCAAAAGAATAACAGGGCATTCAGAAGCCTCGGTCCAGAGGCTTACGCCTTGCAAATGCCACGGTTGGTGTGGCTGCAGGGTAAGTTACCCGAGGCATGGAATAGCAGAATTGTTTCTAATCAAAAGAAGGTGAGGCAGAGGTATTGGGAAGATACTGGTCGTGAGCGCAACACCGGTCCAAACGTTATAGCACCTGTGGTCAGAAAATGTAACTGAGAACTAACTTACTCTGTTTCTCTTTCCTTAGATCTTCTGCCTTTGGAGCAGGATGCAGTTTTTGGCTTAGAAGCTCTTCTTGTTCTTTGTAGTCAAGATGACAGTCCAGGAGCTCAGGCAACCTTAAAGGTGACATTACTATTGTCTTCCCCTAGCACAGCTGTAAGTTTTACAGTAATATTCCTCTCAGAGGAACACTATAATAAAACGTGAAGTTGAACGTGGCATGGAGGTGTCTCTGGAGGACAAAGAATACTGGAGAGAGCTTGCTCTTTGGAGATGGGGATGCAGTGTACATGATTACAACCCTTCTCTATTATTTTAATTTTCCCACTTCATAAGCTGCTCCTGGTAATTTTATCTGGTTATTTTCCTGTAAAGGCTGGCGGTGTGAGAAAGATTAGAATTTCTTGAATTTGTCTTCTCTATTTCTGCAGCCATATATGCAGATAAGTGTGTCTGGCTTTTTTAGTTTTAAGTAGACATTATGTTTATTGTACCTGTTGGTTGTGTGAGTTGCAGATCACGTTAACTTGCATGGTGAAGCTGGTCAAGTGCCGTCCTCACCTGAGCCAGTCAGTAGTTGAATCCCTGCTGACCCAGCTACACAGCGCCCAGGACGCCGCCAGGATTCTCATGTGTCACTGTTTAGCAGCTATTGCCATGCAGCTGCCTGTCCTAGCAGATGGGATGCTAGGAGACCTGATGGACCTCTATAAATTAATTGGACAATCTGCCACAGATAAAAAACAGGAACTCTTGGTAAGACTTCCTTCTGGTAAACAGGCCTTAGATTCGTAGAGTCATAGAATCAACCAGGCTGGAAAAGCCCTTTAAGCTCACCCAGTCCAACCGTTCCCAAGCACTGCCAAGGCCACCACTAACCCATGGCACCGAGGGCCTCATCTGCACACACGGCGTGTGAACGCGTGCAGGGATGGTGACTCCAGCCCTGCCCTGGGCAGCCTGTTCCAATGCCTGAGCACCTCCAATGCCTGCCTCCCCCTCTGGGGAAGGAATTGTTCCTCAGCTCCGTCTAAACCTGCCCTAGGGCAGCTTGAGGCCGTTTCCTCTTGTCCCATCCCTTGCTCCCTGGGAGCAGAGCCCAGCCCCTCCTGGCTCCATCCTCCTGTCAGGCACTTGTAGGGAGCGATCACGTCCTCCCTGAACCTTCTCTTCTCCAGACTGAGCCCCCCAGGTCCCTCAGCCGTTCCCCATCACACTTGTGCTCCAGGCCCTGCACCAACTTCTGTGCAAACTACTGTGGATTGATTTTATTTAAGAAGCCAGCTAAGTCGTTTCTTACGTCTGAGTTGATGTGCCAGTCTGTAGCCACTCTCTTCACTTGTGCTTTAGCTTTTGATGGCATACATTCGGTGTTGAAACATCCCATGGCTGGAGCTGAATTATGTATTTTTAAGTGTATTCCATTACATTTTCCAGCAGGTGGCACTGCTCTAGGCAAATCGAGCTATTGAAATTAATGGGGTATCTGTAAAATAATGGTTAGAGAAAAGCGAAATGGCAGTTAGCTCGCTTCATGTCTGGTAACTCTCATGCACATGACTTAATACACTCTTAAGAGAGAAAAATGCTTTTTATCGTGTCTGTTTGGAAATGAATTTGAATTTTAAGAAGGAAATTACAAGCTTCTTGTTACTTCATTCATTGCATTTGAAACATCTCGGTTAAAAGCCACAGTAAAGATTCTTTAAATGAAAGTGACTTTCATCTCCAAGAATGGAGCTACTTAAATAACTACTTAAAAGACCCGTGACTGAGAAGTTCCTCGGTTAAAATGGTTATGTAATCTTCTATGTAGTTTTTGAGTCTAAAATCAAGCAGATCATTTCTGGTAGCTTAGGAGACAGAACTGGCTTTTTCTTTCCCTTTTTAATTTAGCTCCTGCTATATAACCTTCTTCCTCACCATTCTTTATTAGGTTTCTCTCGCCACAGTGATATTTGTTTCCAGCCAGAAAGCTTTATCTTCAGAAATCAAAACTGTTATCAAGCAGCAGCTGGAGAATGCCTCCAATGGATGGACAGCCTACAGGATAGCTAGGCAGGCTTCCAGAATGGTAAGTGAAATACCTGGAGGAAAATGGTTTAGTGCGGTTGGAAGGGTGCTAGTGACTTCTTTGAACTGGAAAAAGAAAATAAGGAACGTGGTAGGACTTGGGAGGAGGAAATGAATGAGGGATTTGGAAACTTCCGTCTTAATTCCCTGGAATGCTGATTAAGATATATGGCATTTAGGGCACTCATCCCATCGGGATGGTTTTTCACTTGTTTTTTGAAATATTTGGAAAGGAAGTAAGTAATGATCTGATACTTTCTTGAGCACATGCCTAATCTGTATTGTCTAGCTGTTCTTCAGAAGGTGAGACAGGCCATCCTGATGTGTGCTTCTCTTCTTTTCAATGTGATGAAAGGAAGGAAAATATACTGTTTCCCTTTTCGCAGGTGGGGTTAGAATGATGTAGAAACCCTAGTATGAGATGCTGTCGTAAAAGTAAATTTCAGTGTCTGTTTCTCATATTGTTCAATTACCTTGTGTAAATAAGTACTGTACTTACTTAGTATAAGTATGTATACATATAGATGATACACAGGCTGCTATTTCCATAAAATAAACATTTGTGCTTTATTTATTGTTAGGATTGTCATGATCAAATGATTGGAAGAAATTTCACTGTTTCTAACGTTAAAGTAAGCGTAGTTCTGGAGATGTGACTGTTCTCTTATGTATATTTGTGTCATAGAAATGCACAGCCTTCATTAATGTCCCCTCGTAAAAACACTCTTGTCGTTGCAGGGCAATCATGACATGGCCAGAGAACTATATCAAAGCCTGCTCACTCAAGTGGCATCAGAACACTTCTACTTCTGGCTGAACAGCTTGAAGGAGTTCTCTCACGCAGAACAGTGTCTGACAGGTCTGCAGGAGGACAACTACAGCTCGGCGCTGTCTTGCATTGCTGAAGCTTTAAAATCCTATCACAAAGGAATAGCATCACTGACGGTTAGCACAGATATACTTTAGTGATGTCTTTTCTGTGTGCTGTAGCATAGAATCACAGACTGGTCTGTTTTGGAAAGGAGCGTAAGATCTAGTTCCAACCCCTCTGCCATGGACAGGGACATCTCCCACTAAACCATGTTGCCCCAGGCTCTGTCCAACCTGGCCTTGAACGCCGCCGGGGATGGAGCAGCCACAGCTTCCCTGGGCACCCTCTGCCAGCGCCTCGGCACCCTCTGCCAGCGCCTCAGCACCCTCACAGGGAAAAACTTCTGCCTTAGATCTAACCTGAACTCCCCCTGTTTCAGTTTGAACCCATCATCCCTTGTCCCATCGCTACGGTCCCTGATCTGTTTGGTTTCTGTTCTTAAAACTCTGACGAGTTTTTTGACATCCGCCAGACTCTGAGAGGACTGCAGGGAAGAGGTAGTTGTAGCACGCTGCATCTGCAGAGAGAAGATCCTGTAGCTCAGCCAAGTGTGATTAGCTAGACTTCATCACCACCACCCCTTCCTGCCTTGATCAAATCCTGTGATACGATCACACAGACACATCTGTTTTTAAAGTTACAGCACTTAAAATTTGCCACTCCTTGTTTTGGCTGAATAAACGCTATTGTAATAGTCAAGCCTGGGACTTTGTCTCCATTGGCTGCTACCTTCTCAAGATAGGGAGAAGGATTTAATTGTCTTCCTCCCTCCTGCTGAGTTCATGTTGCTTTCTCTTTGACCATGGAATCCTGTGGAATCCTAACAACAAGGCAGCGCAAGTTTACTAGGAGGAGGGAGGACAATCAAATCGGCAGAATTCAGATGGTACCTGCTTTTCTGCAAATACTTTCTGTTTCTCTGGAGTGGCAAAAATAGCAGGAAGCTGTGTGATGGCTGAGAATGTCAACAAAAAAAAACCTTTAATGAATATGGACCAGCTCTTACTGTGAAGTCGCTTCTTAGCGAAAGACAGTCCAGCTTCACACAATAATTTCGTCTTTTATTTTCCATGAAGGAATCTCTATGTGCAGTTCCTTGTCTTTTGAGTTAGGCTGCTTTTTTTTCAGTTACTGGAACTGTCAAGTGCTTTGACAATCCAGATGTTATTGTTTAATAAGGTTCAGACACTACTGCTTATTAATAAATATTCCTCAAGAGGCAGGAAGGATGTAAGTTTTACACCTTTGCCTTCTGAGAGGAAGCTATATTATTCCTGAAGTATTTGTCTCAACTTGTTGGCTGAGTGAACAAGACTTGTAATTCACCATTTCAAGGTTTCTTTAATGTCTAAAAGACATTGAGGGGGAGACCTCGTGTAATTAGATGTTAATATTTAATAGAGGCAGGAAAATAACTGGCTTCAGTAGGTCATTATTTGAGTCAGTAATTTCATGAGCCTTTCCCAAGGGTTTGGGGTATTTTCTGTTAAAGGATTCCTGTCCTCCTCAACCCTGCTGACTTCATTTCCTGGTTGCACATAGTGCTTTGCTGTGTGCGGTACCTTCCCTGTGGGTTGTTGTGGTCCAGCGGAGTAAGTACAGGTTTTTGAAGGCTAGAGAAGAGGAAGTGGGGTTTATAGCTGGCTGTTGCATCGCTCTGAACAAATTCCTAACCTTGCGTGTACCAATTGTAAAAGGAGCCAGTCACTGCTTGCATCTACAGCACCCAGCATCTCAAAGGGAAGCGGAGTGTAATGTGCACATAATAGTCTCACTGCTGAAGACCTTTGCTGTCTCTTCCCTCTGAGTTTAGCTTTACTGTCCCTACTGTTTCAGTGTAGGGCATGACTCCGCACTGTTGGTACTGTAGAGCACTGTTAGTGCATATGATGAGCCCGATGTAGCTGTCCACTTTGTAGCTGTAAGACTCTCTGTCAGTAAATCTGTTGTAGATGTTCACTCAGCCCAGTTCAGCAATGATGAAATACTCATCAGAAGATTTCTCAATGCCTTCTTGATAGACATGCAACTGTCTGTCTTGCACTGCTCTGTGCAACACATTCTGTCACATGAGTTAGTCCACTTGAGGAGGAAGTCCCATTACTTTATGGATGCTGCAGGGAGGGCCGGGTCTTGTCATGGAGCAGATTGACCACAGTCCCCATCTGTCTCTCTCTGTGTACTTGCTTGTATAGTTAGTGAATTTTGACTAGGACCTGCTCTTTCTTGCCCAAAACATGAATCTCATTTGGTAGCATTGTGCTTTTTTTCACTGCTGGCAGTCTAGTGAAGATACAGTACTTGAACAAAGCACTAAAATAACCACTGATTAAGTAGTGTTAACTCCACATACGTTGATAAGAAGTGGTGCTGTTGAAGGGCTTGGCTGAGCCAGAGAACTCTGCCATTTTCTAGAAAGAATTGTAACTCATTGATTTTCCGTGGCTTAATAGGGGTAGCAGATAAGGTAAATTGTGTATTAATGAGACAAGCTTGTCTTTCCATTTGCAAGAGTCAAGTCCAATTTGTGCTACTAAAAATGTCTGGATTTTCTGCTCTAAGTGCTGGTACTTTACTGTCTATAAAAGCCTGTAGTCTCTGTGGAGCAATTACAGTGCAGTGAGGTCTCCTACAGAGGGTTTCCTGATACCACCCTTGCAAAATCAACTGAAAAATTTCCATTCAAAAGGGCTCTCTTCTGCTTTTTTTTTAATGCCCTTGCAGAGGAGAAAGCAAAGGAGCTGGTTGGAAGGGCTGAAGCAGCCTTGTTTGCTTGAAATCTAGCTCAGTAGTTTAAAGTGGTTGCAATTGGGTGATGTTTCTTCTCTTCAGTCAGTAGTGAGCCAGTTCGTAGATGTTTTGCGAGTTTGCTGCTTTCCTGTTGGCAAAGAAATGGATCTTCATAAGGTTTTTGGAATGGGTTATAACTTCTTGCTTTCAGCAGTAACCTTTTCTGTTGACGAATGACAAGTACAGGAGATGATGTGCATGGGTTTAACAAGCTGCCGTTCTCTGAGTAAGAGACGGTCCCAGTGCTTTGTTTTACGGAAGGCTTTTCCCCCTCCTAAAGAAAAAGGTGTACTCAAAATCCAGCAGTGTAAGAAAAATCGGTGGATTTCTGGCCTAACTAGTATGAAATATCGGGTACTGCAGTTTACCCCCGTCTTGGGAGTCCTGAGGTGTCACAGATGCTTCACACATCAGATAAAGTCTTAGGGAGGAGTTTCACAGGACTGCATCTTCTAAACAACCACAGCATGTCTGCCCTCCTGGAGTTCTGTTATTTACTGTTCTTAGTTGTCACTGAATTCTCTCTCTTGCCTGCATCAGATGCAAGGTTGAGTGCCTTTGTAATGTTCCATTTCACAAAATGCCCAAGGTTATTGCCCCTTCCTCCCACTGCAGGTAACTTCAGCCAGTTCCTTCTCTTCTGGCTGATGCAGGGAATCGCTTTGTCAGTCCTTGTGCTTCCCTTCCAATTCAGTGTGCTCTCTCTTATGGATAAGGACTGTCTGGACTAACGTCATCTGACTAATGGCTTGGCCTTGGTAAAAGAGGAAATAGGTGCCCCAGTAGCGTTGTAACAGCTTGAGTCACATTTGTTACAAGGGTGATACACTTGAAATAGGGATTAATAATCACTTCTGTGTTGTTTATATTCAGTATGATTTTACATTGAGCAAATCTCTCAAATGTGTTTTAAACCAGCAGCTTTTAGAATTGAATTCAGTTGTGGGATGAGACAGTTCAGTGCCATTGATTGCAATGTTATTTTATCATGGTTGCTTTTGACCTAGATTGCCAACATTCCTATTGCTGTGTTTCAGGCTGCCAGTACGCCACTTAATCCGCTGAGCTTTCAGTGTGGATTTGTGAAACTCAGGATTGACCTTCTGCAAGCTTTTTCTCAACTTATTTGTACCTGCAACAGCCTCAAAACAAGTCCACCACCAGCTATTGCCACGACGATTGCTATGACATCAGGAAATGACCTCCAGAGGTGTGGACGCATCTCTAACCAGGCACGTGTTCTTGTTCCGCTCTTGTGTTTGCCATGAATTTTGCTTCTCAGCAGACATAGCTGATGAAAGGAATGAAAAGTGGTAGTGGATAGTTTTGCTAAATAGCGAGCCTTGGTTTTCACCTACAGTTATACAAATGCCTGCCTGTAACAGGCACTATCATGAAGTTACGTACATGTGTTTTCTGATACATTCATGCGCTCAGCTTCCAAGATACGCACGTAGTAAGCCCCTTGGCAAGCTCAAACTTGCAGGAAGACCTTTCACACCTTGTTTTGAAACAGCTCAGATACTGTGATTACACTAACAAAGCATATATAATTTAGGATCCTATTGCAACCTCTTTTTGGTGAGCGTTGGCAACAGGCTTGCTACCGTACAGAGCACCAAGGCAGTCTGCTTCTATAATGCATGTAGTCTGCAAGAAGGCATCAGTGGGTAGCCTTTGAAGGAGCAGTTTGATTTACCTTAGGGGATGGTGGAGGTTGTTGCTGGGGTTTAGAGGTTGTTCGGTTTGTTTTGCTTTATTTTTTGCCCAGGGAGGGTACATTGGTGCTGTGTTACAGGAAGAAATACCAGTTTAATGCGTGGATAACAGCCTGGTGACTTTTATCTGTGTGAAGAAGCAAGAACTTGGTTTATCTTGCTAGAGTATACTGGATTGGGGTGGGGGGGTGTTGGTTTGTTTTGCTTTGATTTGGGGTTTTTTTTGACTACCAGCATTGCCTCTGTAGATGAAGCACTCAATGGAGGAATTCCGGAACCTGGCTACCCGCTATGGAGAGCTGTATCAGGCATCTTTTGATGCCGACTCAGCAACTCTAAGGAATGTAGAACTGTATCCTTTTAAAAACCTTAGGATTTCGTAGACTCAACCAGGTTGGAAAAGACCTTTAAAATCATCCAGTCTACCCGTCTTCCAGCACTGCCAAGGCCATCACTAACCCATGGCACCGAGGGCCTCTTCTACATGGTTTGTGAATGCTTGCAGGGACAGTGGCCCTGGGCAGCCTGTTTCAATGCCTGAGCGCCCTCTAATATGTTGACTTCCCTTCTCATGTGGACAGAATGATACTGAACAATCCTGTTTTCTACAGAGACCGGCACAAAATCATTTTGAAACAGTAACGTAAAAATTAGGTACTTGTTGCTTAAAACGTATTTGGAAATAAACATTGCCATACTATTGCTTGGGATTGCTTTATGAAGAAGTTAGGACACAAAAATTGCAACAGCATAAAATCGGGGATTTTCATGGTTCTTGGTCCGTTTACTAAAGGAGTAAAGACTGTAGGATTACTTTGCAGACGGTAGAGAAGTAAGTCCAGTAACCATACTGCATTTCTTGGTTCAGGTGCAATCTTCCTAATTCTTTTAACTCCTTAATATTAATGTCAGACAACAGCAGAGCTGCCTGTTGATTTCACATGCAATAGAAGCTCTGATTTTGGATCCAGAATCTGCAAAGTAGGTCTGATAGTTAACTCCTTTGCTGTTTATTTCTAAATCCCTGGGGGCTTTAAGCCTAGGAATTCAAAGAATGCTCAGAAGGTTTCTCAGTAGACCCTTCTAATTCCACTCTGGGCAGGCTTGAGGACCTGGTGCTGCTGTGCTGTACCTGGCAGGCTCTAGGGACTGTGTTTTGGCTTCCACATTTGTTCTGATTTTCTGTGGGGAGTACTGTGCTGGGCATGTTTTAAATACAGGCTTACATTAAAATAAACCCCAACTTTTAATCTCTTCTTTAGCCACCTATTTCAGCTTGTGTCATTCTGTGTTGGCTCCCATACCTACTGTTTGCACTTGGAAGCACACATCGGTTTCCTTTAGAGTCCTGCAAACATACGCACCAAATTAGTTTAATCTCTTAATGTAAACCCATAACATCTGACTCGTTTTTTTAACTTTGAACTTATACCCCCTGGGAAATGAAGTTCCTATGAATCGAATCCCTCTTTAAAACTCCCAATTGAGTTTGAGGCTGAGATTAATTGAAGATAATGTGGATAAACATAGCTTTAAATATGTGACTTTTATAACTGGAAGTGAAAGTGAACATCAAAGCGATTGTCCTACTCTGTATGAATTAAGCATTGCTTAGAAGGTGTATTGATCAGACTTGTAAAAAGGATGAAGCTGGGGACTTCAGAACATTAGGTGTATAGGAGATGGAATTGTATTCAAGGCATGAGATTACAAACTTCCAGATTTAGTCTTAACTCTGGCATTCTTGCTTTTCCTTGAGCTGTGAGACTTCTAAAAGCATTGGAAACACCACAAGCTTGAATAAAAGGTAGGGGTATTAAGTGTGCTGAGCCTCTTAGACCCCTAAATGCTTCAAGTGAGAAAGGATGGGGACAGAAGATGGGGTAAGATGTAGTTAGAGGTTTAAATGTAATGGGCAAGTCTTATAGTGGAAAAAAAATACAGAAACAGAGTAAACAGTTTGAACAGTTATTTCTTGATGAATTTTGAGTTGTAATAGGGGATGGTCTTGTTGGGTCTGTTTGGGAATAAGCCTCCCACGTTGCAAAGAGGAAAGTATGTCAGACACAGTGAAAAGTTTTGGGTTTTTTAAGTTTCCAGGAATACAGCTCGAATGGAACAGCACATGTTGAGAGTGAATATGAAAGAAGAATGATGTCTGTATTTAATCATGTACTGGAAGAAGTGGAATCCCTCAACAGGAAGTATGCTCCTGTGTCTTACTTGGCAAGTAGTGGTTTTAAATGTATATTCTGTAGACAAACCTTCCAAAACCTCAGCAGCTCCGTGTGTCTTTAGCAGTCAAGAAACTGAAGGACACGCTTAAGGTAAGTTTTCACTGGCATAAACAGTCTGTAGCGTCCAGCACTAGCCTAGCTTCAGTCTCTTGAGCTGCTGGCAGTTCATACTGTGTTTTGTGAGTGTAGCGTTTCTCTTATCAATGCAGGTCATCAGAGAACACAAAGTAAACTGCTCTGAATGCAAACCAGTGAGCCGATAACGTACTTCCTTACAGGGCTAGTATGGTTTCATCTCTTAGTGAACATCATAAAGCTGTAGTGCACGTTGATGGGAACAAGGTAGTTCATTTGTCATGGCTGGCATCTGTTTGCCTAGTTTCTAGTCTTTACCAATCCCAAACACAACGAGGAGTGAGTTGTGTGAACCATAGAAAAGGTAAACCCTGTAAACTAAGTTGTCACTAGCTCCAGGCAGCTTGGTGACTTCAGTAGCACTACCTTGGCTCACATGAGCCAGAAGTACAGTATAGTGTAGTGAGGGAAGAAAGAGGAGACAGGAGGCTTAAAACTTAATTGTTGCACCACGTTAAGTTTGTGGTGCTTGCAGGGACTTGTTTGCTTGGAGGGGAATTGTTGTATATTTGAGGTGTTGGGTGTGAGTGTTTCAAACGGATCCTACTCTGCTGACCCTAACACTATGACCGAAATGACTTGGATTGTCCTTTTCTTGGCATCCTTGTTCTTTCCAGAGCAGAATACCTTCTTCATAAAGGGCAGAACATAAAAAGAGAGGCTGAATGTAGTCATAAAATCATAGCATGGTTAGGGTTGGAAAGCACCTTAAGATCATCTAGTTCCAAAAAGGCTGTTGTCCTATGGCTGTATCAATATATTTCTGGACTTCTGTCGTGGTTTAAACCCAGTCAGGTAACTTGTTCACTCACTCCCAGTGAGTGGTGCCAAGCTGACAACAATCAAGGTCCGTGTTCGTCTCCCCCCCCCTCCCTGCACCGGGGCTCTCCCCTTCCCCGCTCCCGGAGGAACGGGGAGGAGGATCGAGAGAGTGCAACTCCTACGGGTTGAGACAAGAACAGTCCAGCAACAAATCACCACCGCTACTATCAGCTAAAACAATGATAAGGGAAAATAACAAGGGAAGAGAATACGATACCACCGGCCAAGAAAACGAGTTCCACCCGGAAGCCCGTGTCCTTCCGGGCAACTCCCAGTTACCCCCCACCCCGGGCATGACGTGCTGTGGTATGGAATACCTCCCCGGCTAGCCCGGGTCAGGCGCCCCGTCTCTGCTTCCTCACAGCCTCCCCTCCTCCCTGGCAGAGCATGAGCCTCACAAAGTCCTTGGTCAGGGTAAACATCACTTAGCAACAACCGAAAACATCGGCTTCACCAACGCTGTTCTCAAAACTAGAAGTCAAAACACAGCACTGCACCAGTTAACACAAAGGAAAAAAACATGACTGCTACTGCTGAACCCAGGACAACTTCCAGTGGAAATTACTGCAGTTTCAGTCCCTCAAGCGTGTTTCTTTCCCCTATGCTATGAATGATGTATTTTTCTCAATGGTTTGGCTCTGTTTCTTGCAGCATACAGCTTGTCTGTGCAATGCTGTTATTGCATTGTTGAAGGTGCCCCTTTCATTTCAAAGGTACTTTTTTCAAAAGCTGCAGTCCACAAGTATCAAGGTAAGTACTGCTCAAATGTGGCCTGAAATCTCTCTTTGTAGAGTCTGCCTCAGGAGAAAAGCCTCCCTGAAGGCACAAAGCTTTGGCATTTTTAGTGAAGATACTTAACTGCAAAGAGCGTCTGGGGTTATCTGTTAGGAATAACATGAATCATATGTACATATGGGCATTAAGAACCACTAGACTGTGATTTAGGCAAGTAGGACTCGTTTCTTTGACTGCAAAGCCTTAAAGAGAAAATCTAACTGGAACTGGTGATGGTTTTGGGTCTGCAAAGCTAAGTAACGGTCTAGTCCTGGGAAGGCAATTTTGATACATTTGTATTGTTTTTCCTTGGAAAAGCAACGTTTACTATCTTGGGAGAAAATGGTAATGTTTCTCAGGTGGCTGAGTAAGAATGGCTCTATGTGACCTGCAGTGGTCATCATTTACTCAAGTGCTCCTTTTGGCTGGAAAAGGGAAAGCCTTAAGATTTTTATTATTAATTCTTATTGCATTTTATTTCTTTGTTCAGCTTAGTATATACTTCCCTGGGTTATTTTGTAGAAGACTTTATCCACTTCTCTTGAAGAGGTGCAGTTAATGAAACTGATAGACCACAGCTGGTACTGGTGTTAGTGCTTGTTAGGTATGATAGTAATGATCCTCAGATAGAAGTTTTGTGTTTCCATTTGCTGGCTTCCCTTCCAAACCCCTCCTTGGAATTTTTTGCCATAAGAAGGCGTTCTGTTTCATCCTGGAATTGTATTTGCTTTCCTGGAGGTATAAAATCACATTTGTAGCCTGTTTTCTTGTGTTTTAGCTTGCTCTATCCCCATCTCCGAGGAACCCAGCAGAACCCATTGCGGTACAGAACAATCAGCAGTTGGCTCTAAAGGTGGAAGGGGTGGTTCAGCATGGGTCTAAACCAGGCCTTTTCCGTAAAATCCAGTCCGTCTGCCTGAATGTCTCTTCAGTGCTGCAGAGCAAATCTGGACAAGACTATAAGGTATATAGACAGAATAGAATCAGGAGTCTTAAGCTTTCTTGCTGTTTTTTCCTGCTCTTTTGTTTGCCTGTGGTTTAGCAGAATTTCAGGTTGAAATGAATGGGTTCTTCTGTGATCACCTCTTACTCTGAGCAGTTGACATTCAAGCCCGTGCCAGACTCAGGCATAGTGTTATGAGATTTTTAGGCCTGCTGTATGCTGATGTGTTTTTAGTAGCAGCTTTTCCAAACAAAAGCGTCTTTGTGATGCTCAGAACAAGTCAGGAATCTGCTTGAAATTGGGGGAAATTCAGCCTAGGTATATACCATATTAAACTGCAAAGGGGAAATGGCAGATTATTCTCTACCATGTAGACTCTAGAACTTCTTTATCCTCATTTTAAGGGTAGATTTTTCCATTTGTTTATGGGAAGTGGGAGGACATGCTGTCCGAATTAAATAGCCCCTGAGGAGATGCATATGAAACACGAGTCAACAGTCCTGTCAAAGACTGCATGTTCAGAAGTTACGGTTCTGCTAACGTATGTCGTTTAATGAGAAGCCTGTTTTGGTGGGTTTGGGGTGGCTGTGTTTGTTTTGTTGTTTGGTTGGGTTTTCTTGGGGGGGGGAAGGAAAAAGTTGCTTCTAAAAGAAGAACAGGACTAGGAAGTGTGTAATGTTTATCTGACTTGTTTAGTCTGTGGAAAACTGGAACCTCAGGGAGAAACAGACGTGTTAGCTACATTGCTTTTGTGAATAGGTATCAAAAGAACGCATTCATCAATGATGAAACATGTCAAGCTGATTCAGACATGCACGTGCATTGGTTAGGAAAACGGAGGACAAAGATTTTTCTCTGATCTCTCTCCATTTCAAATGGAGAGGAGAAAACTTACTTGAATAGGTTTCTACAAAATGGAATTTTAACCTTCCGTGTGTTCTCAGATTCCTATTGACAACATGACCAATGAAATGGAGCAGAGGGTGGAACCACACAACGACTACTTCAGCACTCAGTTTCTGTTAAACTTTGTGATACTTGGCACCCACAACATCACAGTAGAGTCCTCTGTGATAGATTCAAATGGTATTGTCTGGAAAACTGGGCCTAAAACAACAATTTTTGTTAAGTCTCTTGAAGATCCATATTCCCAGCAGGTTCGTCTTCAGCAGCAGCAAGGACAGCCGCCATCGCAGCAGCAACAGCAGAGAACAGCCTACTCCCGGTTTTGAGAACAGCCTACTCCCGGTTTTAATTCCCTGAAGGGACTCTATCCTGGTCAATGGCATTACAGCTTTTCTTGGACACTTCTTTTTGGTTTTTGACAGACCTACAATTTTAACCTTCTCCTACAGAATCTCAGGTGCTGACTTGTGCTTTTTAAATGGTGTCGGATAAATCTGAACTTGATTCAGCAGAACCAACTCTATTCACATTTCCTTTCAATGTAAGAACTTTTGCCCCATCACTACTGTTGACAGATGTGCGGCAGCAAGCTCCACAAACTCTGACAGCAGAGGACACTAAGAGCCCTTTGACTGGCGCTTGCTTTGAGGCACATAGGTTCTAATGTTAGGCTCATGGGATATCAGGAAACACTTTGGCTAGTTATATGGAACTGCGTGTAATACCAAGTCTGTGTCTCTTGATGTGAAGGAATTAGCAGGAATATCCACAGGCTTGGGTTTGTTTGTTTTTTTTTTTTTTCATTTTAGTAGCAGCTTCTAGTAGGATGTTTATTACTACAATTCGGGAGCACTACTCAATGCATACATCTGAAAGGAAAGAAGTTGTGGCTCACTTCTCGTATGTAGTTGTAGAGGGAGTTGCTGTCTGGGGAGTCTCACAAGAGGCAGAGTTTTACAGGTGGGAACAATAATTGTTTCTCAGATGATACAGAAGAGATTACTGTGGTGGTTTTCAATCTTGCTGCATTTTGGAAGGCTTTGGTTTTGTTGGGTGTTTCGTTTGTTCTTTGAAAATTGCAGTCGACATTTGTTGTAACTGCTTTGTTTTAAAAAGGAAGTTTATATACCAAAGCTTTGTCATGTTGTGTACTCTTTGACCAGCTCAGTCAATCTTCACTGAAGGAGAATTTTGCCAGTACTAGAAATTGATTCGGGATAATTTGGGGAACATGCTGCTTCATACGTAGTTCTTGTGCTTCTTTTGAGACTGAACTCTGCCTCTGTCTGGACTCCCAGGCAATAGAACGTATAACGTGTCCTTCACTTGGTCCTCGTAAGTAATCACTGCTTAGCACTTTGCAGGAAAGTAGGACCCACTTGAATGGGAGGAGGAAGAGGCTCTTCCTACAGACTTCAGCTTGTAAATGGCTTAGTACCTCTCATTGGAGCATAAGTTTTCAGTTACTTAGTAAGTTCCTAAGATACTGTTACTACTTCAAGTTGATTGCACTGTAGAAGCTGACTAGAGCTTGCAGATTCAGCTTGCCTTACATGCAGAGAATAGGATAATGAACTGTTTGAAGCCTGGGTTTCTGTGGCACAGCTGGATGAAGAATTGTTTTTGCTCCATTTTCCCATAATAGTTGCTTAAGAAATCAACTTTCTTCCTCTTGGCTTGAGACTAACAAAGAATTGGAAGTGGTGACACTAGGTTTTGTAATAGCTTGGTCATGCTGTGATACTGAGCAGGAAAGGTAATTGGGATGCAAGGTGGAAAAGAAGACTCAAAATCGGTGGAAAATTCAGCAGCATCCTTCTTATATCTGATTTTTATTTTGTGCTGGGGATGGAAACTATCCCTGCCCTTCAGGCTGCCTGAGGGAAGTGGCAGTTGCTTTCCCCACCTGTGTGGTTACTTTGTTTTTTGTGTGTGTGTATGTAGAGAATCGCAGAATCACAGAACAGTTTGGGATGGAAGGGAGTTGCAAAGCTCATCAAGGCCAACCCCCTGCAATGAGCAGGGACATCTTCAACTCCATCAGGTTACTCAGAACCACATCCGGCCCGGCCTGCAATACCTCCAGGGATGGGGCATCCAGCACCTTCCTGGGCAGCCTGTGCCAGTGTTTCACCATCCTTATTGTAAAGAATTTTTTCCTCACATCCAGCCTGAATCTCCCTCTTCTAGTTTAAACCCACCACCCCTCGTCCTGTCACAACAGGCCCTGCAAAAAGTCTCTCCCCATATTTCTTAGAAACCCCTTCTAAGAACTGAAAGGCCACAATAAGGTCTCCCTGGAGCCTTCTCTTCTCCAGCTGAACAACCCTAACTCTCTCAGAGAGGTGCTCCATCCCTCTGGTCGTTTTTGTGGCCCTCCTCTGGACCCTCTTCAGCAGGTCCATACAGCTCTGTGTGCATACATATACCCATAGCTACATACAGTTTCGTGGTCCAGAAGGAGATCATTCACCTGGTGTTGTGCATGCTGTCTGTCACATTGAAGATCTGAACTATTTGTGACAGGTTGGGTTCTTTCATTAAAGTCATAGATCTGTGTCTTAACCACAAAACCCTCCTTACTCTAATAAGAAAAAGACTAAGAGGTCAAACACATCTTTTTTTTATCCTGCATAATGAATGTGTGTTTCTTGCTCTGTTATTGACCAGTATGTTGCTGGAAACCTGTGGTGGCAGCATCCCAAAAGAACTCGGCCTTTCCTCCCAAGTCATTAGCTATTTCGTAGTGAATAGCTAAACCTGGGAGAAGCCTAGTAGGAAAAAAAACTTATCTAGGGAAACCCCTGACCTCACCTGAGGCTTCATTGCCTGTGAATCAGTAAGACTAACCCTGCTGCAGAAGGAAAAATGGTTCCTTCTCCAAGCAGGTTTCTTCACAGGCCTCTAGAATTCCAGGAACTTGGATCAGTTTTGGAGACAGGCAAACAATAACTGAAGTCTGCAAGCGTGGGTGCTAGGTATGGGGGTTGCAGGGCGAGGGTAGATGCCTTCTGGAAGAGGGTGAGTAGCATTTATTGGAGATGAGTTTGTACAGGAAGGTGGCTTGCACTTGGATTCCTAATGCGCTGAAGGGTTCCTCATGCTGGCTCGTTTGTAGGTTTGTACATGTGGGTGTTGGTCAGGCAGGACCCTGGACCTGTTACTGTATTGTCCTTCTACGTAAGCAGTGGTTTATGTGAAGTTTGTAGTGAGGTTGTTCCTTGGGTGCTTGTTTTCAAACATTGTGTGTCTTTATTCCTAATACACTTTGAAATACACTTTGCAAACCAAGGTTTTCATAGAAATCAATGACTCAGAACACCCAAAGAGAAGTGAAGAAGGGTGTTACAGTTACAGCAATGCACAGAAAGCCATCAGCAGGGAATGTGATCCTTGACTATTAATAGAAGCAGGGAGGCTGTCTTGCTTGAATCCTGCGTTCTCTTTCTGTGCTTGAAGATGTGCAACAAAGAATCTAGACAGCACTTCCTGTGATATGAACCAAGTTAAATGTCACTAGGATTTCTCAATAAACAAAGCAGTAACTTGACCACTCTGCATAGCTGCATACTGATAATGGGAGACAATTCAGCTCTTCTTCCTGTACTGCCAGAAGAAGGAAAATATGCAGTGGCTAGACATAGGTTTGAAGCTGCTGCTGTGAATTCAGACAACAAACAGGCGTATGCAGGCAGCTACCATCATCATCTGGGTTTCATCTAGCTCTGATAAATCACTGGGCTGGGGAAAGCTGAAGATGGTCAAGTGAAGATGAGAGGAGGAATTCATAATGTGCAGTTCTGCATTAAGCTAACAGGAATAGTTCCTAGGCTTGAGGATTTAAGCTGGCTTCTCTATGGGTGATGGAGCCAGATGCTCTCAGAAGTACTCACTACTCGCCTTTTTGTGACCCTGTGCTCCGACATAACAGAAAGTGTCATTTCTAGATTCCTGGCTGACCTCTTGCTCAAGGCAATGTGGAACTCAACAAGGAGTAGGGAAGGAATTCCCCCTGTCAGATTCTGCCTTCCTCTGGAATTAGTGTGTAACCTCCTGCTAAGGTCATTTAAGTGTGTTTCACAAGTGATTCCCTGAAGTGTCACTGTGTGTATTCATGGCACCTGAGACTTCCCTTTCTTCCCGGTTTTGTCCCCTTGGTAATGCTCTCATTTTAACCAAGGACTGAAATGCCTTGATTTAGCTAAAGCTTTTGGATCTGATCGTGGATATACGTTCACTTTAACCTGATTTTTCTGTACAGTTTCACAGGACTTAACAGGTCTAGAAGAAAGCTCAGCGATCCTTTAAATACATGCATAAAGTTGTGACATCAGTAAAGAAAGTAATTTTACAACTTGAGTTTAAAAAAACCAACAAAACTTACTGAAGAATCAATAGGATTTGAATGAATTGTATTCATTCCTAAAATCTCTTTTGAATGATGTTCACCATGTGTGTATGTATATAAAGAAAGAGGGATCTCGTACAGCATGAAGCACGTTGCCCTCAAGAGTAGCTGTGTTTCTTTTCTGGCTGTCTTCTTTCTGCTGGCCTACAGTGCTTTGCTGTCTGCTTGCTCAGCACATTGACACAAAGTGCCCTTTTAGCAGCATCTCAAAACAGTCTGCGCCTTTTGTGGCAGTGCAGGTGTAGTAAGGTATCTGCACTGTCCAAGTGTGTGTATGGGAACATAAAGGGGAGATGGGTGTCTTGAGAGCCCTGCCAGCTCTCAAGGCAGTTCTGAGTTGCGTGGGGCCCAAGAACTGGTAGCTCGCTCTGCCCAACTGCTGTAATGCAGCGTCCAGCAGTACTGAAGTTGCTCTTGCTTCACCCGCATAGATGCCTCCAAGGACACAACCTTAGATGCTAAGCAAAAGGAGACTTGGCCTGTATTAATCTTGAAAGCTGAGAGAGTGATAGAGACAGAAGTACTTCTTAAAAGCAAGGGAAAAACAAGTGTTGCGTTGCCTTTCTTACCAGATACTACACAGTGTTGCAGTTACCTTCATCCCCCTGTGAATTTTGAAGCCAGGTGCTGGCTTGTGTTACTGGAAATAGGCCTGTTTTGATGGTGACCCTAGATAGCTCCCGAGTTCTTCGTACTCCAAGGGATATCCCCCTGACAAACAGCAGCTGCTCAAAGTCAGCACTGAAGTCACAGCTTACAGCGAGCACTCAAGCCAGTGGCTGTTCTGCATGCGTCAGAGTTGCTCTGCTCTGCTGGCTGTCAGCAGAGTGCCGAGAAATAGCAAGTGTCATCGTGATGTTCTCATTTGCTTTTAGGATAGTCATTATCTACCCCTTGCTTACTCACCTCAAAGCAATGCTACTGAAATGAAGGACAGCTTGGCTGTATGTTAATGGAGTTTCCAGTTAGCCTCAGCCTCCTGATCCAAGGACCTTAGACAAGGCAAGAAGAGCTTTCAGTGAATACTGGGAGAAGAATCTTTCCCAGGCTAGCAAGAGAATGAGCAATGCCTTAAACTGTGTCTGCTGGGCACCTAAGTGTAGTAAAAAGCATTTTCTGTGTTCTTTTTTGTCAGTGTTGAACCAGAGGCCCAGTGGAGCAGACAAGGCGATACCTCTTCTACTGTGTAGAAATAAAACTTAGGCCATAAGCACCTCATAGTCTTAAAACTAATCCTTTTCCTTTTTTCTTCAATGGATAGGGAGTCTTATATACACATTCCCTCAGATTTGAGTTTTTGGGTTTCAAGGAGTCTTTCAAAACTCTGATTAATAAAAGCAGTTATTTGGGGGTGTTTTTATGGGTATTAGTGGTGAGTACAAAGCTCCAACGGAGAAGATGGCTTGTGTGGGTTGTCTGATTTAAAATACGTTTTCTCAACAGTTTATGACTTGCTGGCAGCCCATCTTACAGACTCCTTCCCTGCTTACTAGGAGTCCTATGTTTAGGAATACAGTTAATTTGAAATTAATAGCTGTCCATGCTTAAAAGCTTCTACCTAGAGAGCAAAACCACCGAGTAGCAGCTGAACTAGAAGAGACGGTGTGTCATAAACGGAATGGTATGTGCATGGATGGACTCTGCCACAGATGATGGGTGAATCAGGGTATAGTTTTCGTGCTCTGCTTCACACAGTGGCAGGGTGCGGTGCTGCTGATACGGCTCTTTTGGCAGCTTGCTCCTGCCTTTGTCTTTGCTCTTTGCATCAGATCACGAGTTTATCCAGGTAAAAGTTTCATTTTTAGGGTGTTGTTTCAGCTGAATCAGCAGGCTTGGCTTGGCTGACTGCAGCAACTTCACAGAGCCAGCACAAGGAAGGTGTGGGGGAAGACGTGTGGTGTATCCTGAAAGTAATGATCAACTGATGGACTGACTGAGCACGCATCTGTGGTGAATCTCTATTTAACGCAAGTCTAAAGGGAATAATCTGTTCACACAGGTCTGACCTGTAGCATTTCTGCATGGCCAGTTTGAGAGGGCAGAGATCACTGCAGCAGTGACCAGCCTTCCCATCTGCTGTGAGGCGCCACCACGAGTGAGGCAGCGGAAGGGGAGGAATGCCCTTGTGGAGCAGGGGATGAGACCAAGCCTGCAGTGAGTTGTCAGTCTTTGCTCTGGAGTGCGTGAGGTGTCCTTGAATGTGCCCCGATTCGCCAGCAGCGCATATGGGCAGCAGCTAAGAGCAGTGAGTGGTGACAGCCATCTGACTTGCCTGCTTTTACTAAGTCCTAAAGTATGCAAATGTCAAGGTTCTGATTTGATGTTACTTTGTAGTTACGCTGGTGGTATTCCTACGTGAACACTTGGAAAGTTTGGCCAAAGCCAGGCTTTTGTCACTTGAGCTTAAGTCCACTGGCACTATTTTTGTAGGTGTGTGTTTGCAGAAACTGGTCTATGCAAATGACAACGTTCAAACTAGGCAGTTGCGCACTGAGTGAAGCAACAATGTGGATGGGGACCTCTTGGAGCTAGTCCCCCACTTCAGGCAGATAGGAAATTCCAGGTGTTGTAGTAATCCACAGGAAATGGTGTCTTACCTCTTCGGGCCTCTTTCCCTCATTTCATGAGGCAGGACCAAAAGCTATTGTAATAAATTATACTAATTACAGTTAGTAAAGCCATCACTCTGACACGTTTTTCCTCAAGCAGCATGAACTGATCCTGCCTGCAGCGTGTAAACTCTGACAGTTGATTTCCTTTGTGTCTCCGTCACCAAAAAAGAATGGATGTGCATTTTCGTCCTTGCAGAGGAACATTTACCTGACAGTCTTCATGTCCTGTGAGAGAGATGCAAAGCCTTGCCTTGTTTTTTTTTTGCCTGCTGCAAGCATTTGCATGTTTGTGTGGACAAAGTCTTTGTGAGTTGGGTAGGCATTTCTAAGCATCCCACATGATAAGTCCCCTGCAGAGATTTGTGTTTTGTTAGCATGGGTACACTAGGGGAAGAACAAAAAGAGACTCTGATTTTTATTTCTGGGGGTGGAGTTTAGTTGTCTTCCTATTTTTGGCCTGACCTTCAGAAAAGCACCCAGTTCATCTGTGTTGTTTTTCCCATTGAAACAAAAAAAAAAACCACAAAACAAACCCAAATCCTAATTCCTCATGATTTGCTGTTTTAGTAATTCATCGGTCTTATGTAGGTACCAAATACTGTTCTGCTGGTTTGCGAAGGGATGTTTTCCTTTTTGTATAGGAAAAAGGAGCTCCCATGACTACTGAAGAGTGTTGCAATACCTACAGTAGTCCAGCCTGGCAAGATAACGAAACCAGTGCAGAACCTGCACAGCAGTAATGCCTTTGAGCAAAGCTATTTCAAGATGCCATGGTGATGAATCAGTCTTTCCCCCAGCCCCCTTTGCTTCTTGAAAGAAACACTAAACCCCGTGTTGCAGCCAGGGTACTCGTGTACAGCTCTGTCATTTAATGATATGAGTGTACGAAATGGCAGATGGGAACGTTGATGATTCACTGAATGTATTTATGTATAGGTGTAAACGGTACCTCACCAGAAAAACAGCTTCCCAAGAGGGATATGGGAGCTTAACATTTGTTTTCAGTGAAGCCCATTCTGTAATACAAACGCAGTGAGCTCCTGCTGTGACAAGACAGATGGGAAAGGTGATGCCTGCCTCACCACCTGAAATGTGCCTTTCTGCTTCTCTTGGGGTTTGTGCTGTCCAGGCACTGCCCTTTTCATCGTGGTTAATGACAGCAGTTCCATGCTAATAATCTATTACCAAATCAGCCACTCTTTACCTGTGGTACAATGTACTTCTGACTTTTGAGTTCTCACCTGCATGTGACCACGTGCCTTCTGCTGGCAGAGCTGGGAATATTTGACATGGAAAGCTGCTGGGTGCTTGGCACCCTCTTCCTGTTTAAATCTTTGACTGCTTCCAGCAGCTTCATCCAAGACAGCCCAGGGGCAAGTTGGCATTGGCCACTCTGCTGTGCAATCTGAATGCATCTTAAAAGTGCAGTTTTAGATCTCTTCAGCTTTTACTTTGAGCTGCTTCTCCACAGTCACGATAGCCGTAAGTTATGTTTTGGATAATCTTATTCCTTATTTTTAGTACTCGACTCTGGGAAGTGTGGCTTAAAAAAAGGATACATTAAAAGGAAAAAGCAAGAACCAAATGTTCAGTAAAATCTGTCCTCCTGACAGTATTGTTAGACAATTCAGTTAGCTTTGATTTGGCCTTCAGATGTCCACTCTTGCTGGGTTGTGCCTGATGTACTTGGCCATTGAAGGAGTAAAGGAGCAGCAGAGTAGGACCTTCATGGAAGTTTTCCAAGGCAAGTGTCTTCCACTGATACCTGTAGGAAAGGCAGTGTGGGCAGGGGGTGGGGAGCACTTGTGTGAGCCTTGCCAGTTGCCAAAAGTTGGCTGCAAGTTTGCTGTTTCCAAATGTTACCACTTTAATTATCACCCAGGTTATTTCCTCATCTCTCCCTTTTGGGAGAGAAGAAACTCAAACATCCTCTGTGCTCGCAGAAATGCTTGCAGCTAATAAAGTTGTATCTTCAGTAAATGAGGGGTTTGGAATATTGAGATGAACTGGGAAGAAAAACATGACTCGTTTTGTCTTTTACCTTCAAGGAAAGATTCTGAGCAGTTTCTAAGGAAGCTGGAGCCCAGGTTACGCAGAGCACTTGAGCTGTTTGAGCAGTGATTCATGTGTACCTGTTCTTAGTACTAGTTGCAGTGTGGTAATGAAACACTGATGGCTGAAATGACAGCCCAGAGGTGGAAGTGGTCTTGTCTCACGAGAGGAGCAATCTATAGCTGTGATGGGGTTATTTGACAGTTCACAGGAATCACGTTTCTGAACAGAATGCAGACTGAAGTTTCCTTCAGTGTAGGATGAATGCTGTAGTAGGGCTGACCCAGGGCCCAGGATCTCTGCTATAGTTTTGCATTGGACCTCTCTTAAAAGGAGGTACATAATTCATGCTCAGCAGGAGCAGTCAAGCCCATGACTCATTTGTGCCACTCTGAAATATTAAAACTGCCAGGCCACTTCAATTACAAACCTGGCAGGACATAACCTGATACAGTGAAATACCTACCCGTTACCCAGGCAACGCAAAGAATCCAGTCACTGCAAAGAATGCTCCCTGTGATTAATGATGGCATTATTGAGATTGTTTCTGGAATTCTTTTGACTACCCAGGAGCAGGAAGAGCTACAGCTGAGTGGGCATTCCACTTACTCGAGAAGTAGGAGAGTTTTCCACCTTTTCCTCAAGGATTTAAGTCTTTCTTTGTGCCTGTGTAAGCACCTGCGACTCTGAAGGGGGGTGGGAGATAAGAGAAACTGGACACATGTATGTTTCTGTAGTAGCGAAGATTAAAGGTGAACTCTAAAACAGAATCTGGGAAGGATCTTGAGGTACCTGAACTGGGGGGGGGGGATGTGAACAGTGCATTTCATCAGTGCAGTAAAACAGCGTATGTTGTGCTGCAACTTTACTGATTACCCACAAATCCTAAGTGTACTCCATCAAGTCTAATCTAACAGGATTGGTACTTCTGAATTGCTAAAACTCAGATCTTGTTCACAAGCATCCTTTTTAATCTAGCTGGTAGCAACAGCTAGACCTTACATGCTCCTGTGCTTGTGTGTGACTTGGTTTGTTAATGGCCAGTCCAGTAGCATTGTACCCCAAATCCAAATGTTAGGGGTTTGCATTTATGTAGCAGCTCTGTTGAACTCTGTTTGCAGACCAAGCATGTACTTAGGAGTGGACTTAGCCTGGAACTGAATACATGCAAATGGCTCTGTGTTAGCCTGGACTGAACAATCTGAGCATTCCAGCTTGTGTTTCCCTGAAATGAAGTCACTGACTCGAGCAGTCAGGTTAAACAGAAGTTCTTTGGTGTATGTATATTACCTGGGTTCACATGAATTCACCCAGTAATTCATACTGTTTATCTTGCATGCCAGAAAGATGTCAATGGGCATACACTTGTGTACACAGTGATGACCTTTGTAGAAACCCAGCAGGGTTTTTATAACAGTTCCACTGAAATTCCGTGTCAGCCACATCAGCTGGTACAGGCTTGGTAGGATCCCAGCAATACGGCTCCCAGGATGAACAAGGGCACAGAGACCGAGGAAGAGCTGGTGAATTAAGTAGAAGTTCTACTGAAAAGCAGTGGTAATATGTGAAAACACAGGTTTTTCAACTAAATTAGCAAATAAATATGTTTTTCTGTGACACTCGACTCTGTCCTATTGGAACAGAACATTAATCCATTTTGTTCTGTAAGGATATTTAATTTGTCATCTGTTCGTAAAGCTTGTGACCAGAACCAGCATGAGGTTTGGGCAGTTGCAGGTCTCTGGCCTGCAGAATGGCAAGACTCAGGTTGCAAGTTAATGTTTTTATGGCTTTGGTTTGATCATAAGGTCAAGTAGTGGTGTTTTCTAAGGTAAATACTGGTGAAGAATGACTGCTTCTGAAAGCAGGGATTTGCAAATCTTCCTGCAATGGTTTAGGCTTCTCTAGATTGTATTTCTCAGTATATTTGATCAATGTAAGCACTTGATTAACTTTTTACCCTACAGTCTGTTGCCTTTATTCTTCCAGTTCACAAGTGGGTTTTTACTCAATTGTGTCTTCATCCAGCTGCTGTCTTGCATCTTTTGTCCACCTCCCCAAGATATAATCCATAGCTTCATCCCACGCAGCACTGCTTGCAGCCAGTCCTTCCAAATACACCTGTGATTCTTTTTGTCATTCCCTTCAGGTACCGTTGTGCCACTTTGGAATTTGTCAGAGAGAAGGAAGAGTAGAGGGATCTGGGAAATAACATGCATGTGTGTGGTGGGGTAACAGTAAGGATCACCCTTGCTGCTTTACAGTGAGTAACAGCCTCTGCCTGAGCAGGCTGTGTTGGGGCTGTTTTCATTACATTCCATTAGGAAAATTTAATGGCCAGGAGCAAGTGTTAAGGTGTTTGGCACCGCAATGAACAGCAGAGAGCTAAGAGCATTCCCTCACCTGGAATATGAGCCTTTCTGCTATAGACTGGCACACACATGATTTATGCTTGCTTGCAGTCCTAGATAATGCCTCTGCCATGTATGAGAATGGAGCCCATGGAATGTTTTTGTGGCCTCATCCAATGACTGCCATGGTTTTGGTGTTTGGGCTGGTTGGTTGGGGTGTGGGCTGTTTG